CAAATGTGTTTGATTATAAATGTATAAGTGCTTGCACACATAGATACAGACACACACACACACACACATACATACACATACACATAGGGTAAAGTTGTTTATTAGTTTTCAAACAATTTATTTGTTTAGCTGTCTTGACAGCCATCCATTTATTAATATTTATTTCGTTCTCTTGTTTACGGCCGCTAGAAAACGAATAAGATTCAGCTTGACAAACCAGTTTAAAGCCGTCTTAAAGTTAATGCATCGCGAAAGGGACTGGGACTGAAGCAGGATGCAAGCAAATGTAGCACGAGCCATGAGGCGAGCATTAGAAAGGGGCAGCTGAACGGGAACGCAGTCCAAACTAACATGTGTCGCTGTGTGTTACGTAATCAATGCTGATAGAGCTAGCTTGAAAATAGATGCGCAGGGCAACAGAAAAGCCGAGCCAAAAGCCGAGCCAAAGCCAGAGCAAAGAGAGATACAGAGGGTTAGGGAGAATCAGAGAGCGAGCGAGAGAGAGAGAGAGAGAGAGAGAGAGAGAGTGCGGCTGCTGCTGCGTTGACAGCGCTGTTGACCTACTTCGTTGACAATGTGCGAGTTCCCGAGTGTGCGTGTGCATCTGTGAGTGTGTGCGTGTGTGTGTGTGTGTGTGGCACACAACCATTGCCTAGACAAGGTCTTGCGCAGTAGCCGTGCAAAAGACTGCGTTGTCTGCTGCACTGCAGTATTGGGCGCTATTGCAGCCGACAGCAGCAGCAGTAGCAGCAGCAGCCGAGCCAACATGGCAACGTCCTTGAGCATACACACACACACACACACACACTAAGGGAGCAAGAGAGAGGAAGGAAAACAACACTTGCACTGAATATGGGTTACACCTTGGCCACTTATGCAGACTGAAATAGCGATGCTGTCGCCCGTTGCCCGTTGCCCGTTGCCTGACGCCCGTTGCCTGTCGCCTGTCGCGTGGCTACTTCAAGTGCGTTTACTGCCTGCGGGCTTTCCATGCGACCCGTGCGTGGGCGCACTCTCTCAGTGCATTTGCTCTCTGGATATATTTTTGGGTTACCTTATTCTTGGCAGATGCTTTTGTTGCCACTCAAGTGTTGCCGATGCTGCCGTGTGCTGCACTTGTAAAGTGTCTCTGTACGCCCTCAAGTGGCCTACTAATAGCTCGAGTGGCATGTTGGTTAGTTAGGTGGCAAGTGTGCTTGTTTTTCCTGCTGTCCCGTCCTGCTGTCTATGCAGTTTCCGCCTATTACTTTGCCCTCAAAAGCGGCCCGAGCACGCTTATCGATAGGTCGACCCAGGCTTAGCTTAGCTTTCGTTTTCAGCTTTTGTGCAAGGCAAAGTGGGTCACTTTGTTACATCCAAGATGCACTTGAGACCATTGCTGTAGTTAACGAACAAATGCGACCACGATGCGAATGAGCAATTTGCGGTAGACGCCACAGTAAATCACATATACGCAGCGTGTGCAGCTGTCGAATATTTATAAATACCCAGCGCTCTCAGCTGAACCGATTAACAAAGTATTAATCACACTGGCTCAGCTCACAGAATTTCGTGGACAGACTTAGAAACAGAAACAGGTGAAGCTGAATTAAGCCTCAGAGCTAAACCAAAGTCTGAGAAGAGTGGGCAAGTCATTAATTATATGAGCACACATTTAGATCGTTACTCTATATATATACATATGATTCATATATGCATATGGGGCGTGCTGTGTCATCATCATCGAATAGCAATTGAAGTTCGAAGAATGAAGTTGTTCAGCTTGCTTCAAAAACTTGACACGTTGTGCTCTGCTCTGTATCTCCTTCGCTTATCTGCCCAGCGTATATATACGTAAATGTCTGTATATACAGCATTTCTATTTTAGTTGCAGTCAACTCCTCCCACCGTTTCGCTTGCCTGCCGCTCGCTGCTGATAAAGGCAGCAAAAATAACAACTAAGAAAAATATATAAAGCCAAATAACAATTTTTGTCGAACGTCGAAAAGCCGCCCATTAGATCATAAGCGCGCTCTTCTCACACACACACGCAAACACATGTATATCTGCACACACACATGCACGTGCATGTGTCTATGTGACCCACACAGACGCTGTGTGTGATCGCAATGCCTGAGTCATTTGGATCACCCTCTTTGCTCTCCAATTTTGAGCGTGTTGTGCTCTCTCGTTCGCTCTGCCTCTCTCTCGCTCTCTCATTTGAACTCTGTGCTTTGGGCTAGCTTGGACGCTGTCTCTGTCGCTGGCTGTGGCTCTGTATCTCTGTCTCCGTCTCCGTCGGCGCTTTGCTTGTGTGCCACGGACCCACAAAATTCTTCAGTGCGGTTTCAGTGCGCGCCGTTGCCGATCGTCGTTCATTTAGTGCTCGCTCGCTTCTCGTCTTTTTTGTCGCCTTTTTGTCCGCACGGCCATTTTGTTAGCGCAATCGAGTTGGCTGTCAACTAACCAGCATGTTGTTTGCCAGAACGCAGCCACAGCCGCCGCTTCAACCCCATCATCAGTCGCAGCCAGAACAACTGACGCCGCTGCCGATGCAATTGTGTATGTGTTTTCAAGTGCAGTTTTAAGTTATACACACACACGCACACACCCAGCAGTGGGTATGGCTTACAGGAAAATGACCTTGTTAATTAGCATCGTCGCTGCACCGACAATGACAATGACAACATCCCGGCTACTAAACTAATAATATTTATCAAACTTTGTGTTTGCCTTGTCGTTTGTATTTGTGCTTCTCATTAGGCTCTTAATCACATGAGCAGAGTCGTCATTCGATACATACATGTCAGCTATGTGGCTGTGTGTGCGTGTGTGTGTGTAGGTGTACGTATATGTATTTGTATCTGGGTCCACGCTGCGTATGCGCAACTTGACAATCGACTTACATTTTGTGTACGCCGCGACGCGTCGTGTCAAGGTCACATTTTCATTTTGAAAGTTGTCATTAGCTTCGAGTCGAGCCAGTGCGAATACTTCTATCGGCCAGATACATTCAGCCACTCACCACTGCAGCCGAAACGAGTATGTGAAAAATGCTCAAAGCAAAACTATTTGCCTACGAGAAACCCTCGATTCGATACAAGCTATAAGCAGCAAATGTAGCTCAATGTCAGCAGCTCTATAATAATTCAAAAACCAGACACACTCTGTGGACACACTAACAAAACATTTATAAATGTAAAACTATTGACATTGACACGAAGAAGCTTTCGGTGGCGAAGGCGAAGGCGGAGTTCGGCTTTTAGTTCGAGCTATTTGAATAAATTGAAATTAATTCGAGTTTCAATGCTCATTAAAAGGGCTGTCTCTGCAGTGTGAAAATGCTGAGCTTGCTGTGTGGGCTGCGGTGCTTCAACTTGTCAGAGTTCGATCCGAAAAAAGCGGGAAGCAAACGACAGCAAAACACAACCTTGAAAAGTGCTTGAGTGTGTGTGTGTGTGTGTCTGCTTCAAGAATGAACAGACCCAAAATGTATAGAAACAACCTTGACAGCTAACCGAGATACTCCATTCATTGAGAGCCAAACGTGTGAGGCTTTTGCTTTCCTCTGCTTCTGCTTCTTCGCGTTTCTTCTTCGTGTTGTGTTGTTGCAAAACAGCTCGCAACGGCTCGTAAATAATAAATGCAGTCGAAAATTGGGGGAATTTTTTTGCCCAGCTCGTTTCCGAATCTCTAGCTCCGGCTTTGCCTTCATTGTGTAATCTGGTCAGCAGCAGCCAGAGAGCAGCAGCTACTGATGTGAACTGCCTTTGGCAACTAGTTGTTAATTTCTGTTGTTTGGCAACACGCGGAGCGAGCAGGTGTGCCCGTCTAACCCAGCAGAGCTACTACACTAAGTTTTTTTTGTTTTTTTTTTTTGCGAGAGACCAAAAATGAAGTGTTGTGACTTCTACACGATAAATCAATTGAGGCCGCAAGCGTAAGCGCAAACGTCATTAGGACTGGAAGATGATCTCACACATAATTTAGTTGGCTATCGTGGCTGTCACAGTTGTTGTTGTTATTATTATAAACGCCCACCTTGCTCGTGTGTGTGTGTGCGAATATATTAACGTGTTTTTGTTTCCATTTTGATGGCTAACCAGCATTTAGTTATATAACAGAAGCGAAACATGATTTCTAAATCATTCGCATTATTATTATTTTGTATTTTGTATTTTGTATTTTGTAATTGAGTTTGCATTTCATTCGATACGGCGTCATTTCGAATATTTGTGTTTTCGTTCGTAATTGCAATTAGCCAAGCGATGCCTCGCGTTTCCTGGTCACACGAATTGGAGTTTGTAATTGACCCAGCTTCGACTGTTCGACTGTGTCAAGGTAATTTCGAGCAGCCCTTCGTGAACATGCGCTGTTTGTTTGTTTTCACAAATATTGATCAGATACGCCTAATTATATGGCAGTTAGCTGCTCTAATTAGTGGCTTAATGTTCCATTTACAGTGAGTCCGTCAGGCTTATAGTCCACATCATTCTGATTACCGACTCACCTTGGCGCAATCATCGATTCAGCATTAGTTGGCTCACTCTGCTGGATCACTTTAAGATCATTGTTTTATATAATCACTTACTCACTTTGATTATGCTCGCTCGACTTTACTACACATCATTTGCTCACGGAACATTTTCGCGCTCACACTTAATACATTATAAACATTTATAAATTTCTATATTATTTTGCACTTTTTTATTATTATTATTCTCTTACTCTACTCATACAACTGTGCTTGAATTGAAAAACGAAAGAGCGCTACTATTCTTATGAACAGTAATAAAAAATCTGATTTAGATAAAAGCCAAATGCATTTCGATCAACTCTCATTGGGGCGACACACACGTAGTTGTTGTTGTTGCTAATATAGTAAATTAAATATATATATCAATTTCAATTATCTTCAACGCACAGCAGCATTTCCGCAAAACCAATAAAACCACAAACAATAAAACAATATTTAAATGTGAAAAAAGTAAATATGAAAACTTTGTTGTGATTAAAAATCTGAAATAGAAAAATACAAAAACAAAAACAAAGACAAAAAGAAAAGGCGAATTTAGTTAAATAATAACGCAATAATAAGTGCAAAATCGAAGGCAATCCATCCATCATATCGTCGATCACAAATCTGTAGCACAGCAACTGGAACTTCTCAACACTCGCAGCTGAAATCAGAACTCGAACAAATCTCAACTGAACTGAACTGAGCCGAGCCGAGCCGAGGTGAAGGCAAAGAGAAGTGGAAAGAGACTCCATCCATACTTAAAATCAACCCGCTGAATGGTAAACTGTTGGCATAGTAATCGTATTATAACTGTATAAGACCATTACCTTCCATACCATTATTGGATGTTGTGTAACTCTCGTCATTAACTACTATCTTGTTCTCTCAATATATACATGGATATATACTCTCTATAGCACAGATTGAAAACTGCAAACTGCAAACTGCAAACTGCAAAAACATGCCACATCCTACTACTACTACTATTACTACTACTACTACTACTACTACTACTACTACTATTGTATTATTCTTACTGCATATCCTTATTATTATTATTATTTGTAATTGTAAGGGAAGCGAAATGCGTAGTTGATAACATCTTCATCAAGCGATGATAACATGAGTACTTCTATGTACATAATGCAGAAACGATCAATCATCATTCGATAATGTGCTTGTTGGCAATCAATCAATCAACCTATCAATCAATCAATCAATCGTGCAATCAACCTCAATCAAACTCTTAACAAAGCACTCCAATCAACAACAATTGCTGCTGCATCTGCTGCTGTTGCCGCCGCTTCATAACTCCAAACGCAACTCCAGGCGTCTCAATCTTCTTTTTGATGTATGTAACTGTCAATGTGTGTGTATGCGTGTGTGTGAACTATCATAATACCTGAACACATATAAATATTATGTATTATACATGCATACATGCTGCTATTTGTATCTCTGTCTCCTTCTCTCTCTCTCTATCTCTCTGTCCTGCTCTCTTTCTCTTCATCTCTCTTGTGTTGTTATTGTTGTTGTTGTTTCTGGTGTTGTGGGAGTTGCCTACTGATCCGCTGATCAACAAATGTGGCGCAAACATTGCAAAGTACACAGTAAATAAATAAATACGAAACCAAGCCAAGCACATCCCGATTGCCATCAAAGACCACCAAACACATGTCAGCAAACGCCATTGATTTAATTAATCGTCTACTACTACTTACTACTCTACTACTACTACTACTACTACTACTACTACAATATCCATCCAGCGCGCTGCTTTCGAATCGAATCAATGCAAATCAAAATCAAAATCAAAATCAACTCAACTCAACTCAACTCAACCCAAATCAACTCGAAACACTGCAAAACGTACTAAAAACAAATGGCGCCACCACTCTATAAGCCTATCTATGACCTATACTTATACACCGCCACCTCATCATACTCCTTCCAAGGACGGAGTGAACAGCACAAGGCCTAGTCTAAACAATCAGAAATCATACTAAATCAACTACTCAGTCAGAGCTGCGTTTACACGAGCGTTAAGCGAGAGCAGCACTTGGGAGACTCAAGCACAAGTTGGCAGCATGACAAAAGTTTCAAAATTGAATTTGATTTGTGTGTTTTGATCAAGGGATACACTGAAAGAAACATCAGTGCTGCCAACTTTATTATCTCTGTCTCTCTCTCTTTCTCTTTCTCGTTCTCGTTCTCGTTCTCGTTCTCTTCCTCTCCCTCTCTCTGCCTCTCTTTGCTAGCTCGTGTAAAAGCTGCTCAATCCAAAATGTTTCTTTGTATGTTTCATGTAACGAAATTGTAAGCGAAATTGCAAAAACAAAAAAAAAAACGATATTTTGAAAAAAACTGAGCTTAATTGAAAACAATTTCTATTTCTTTTTCTTTTCGTTTATTGTGCAAGTTTTTGAATTGGAATCGCGTAGAGTAGTTCAAAACTGAGCAGCAGCAGTAAAATTGATCAAAAATAAAAAAAACTTTATAAATCAACAACAATAAAAACAAACAAAAAACTCCTTAAAAAACTTAAAGCTACTAAAAAATATAAAAAATATTTCCGTCGCATACGCAAAACAAATCTAAGACTGAATGACAACATTCGAACAGTATCGAAGCGGCAGCAAAAGTCAAGCAACAATTGCACGCCATGGAAAGTATTATAAGTGTGGCGGACCAGGAAATACTACAGCAGATGGGCGCTGATTTGTGTGCAACAGGAGTAATGCAGCAGCTGCAACAAGTGCAAGAGCTAGAGCAGCAGCAGCAGCAGCAGCAACAGCTGCAGCTGCAGCAGTATGCATGCCAACATCTGCACTCAACGCCCACACCTATGTCGCAATTTGATTATCAGCATCAGCCACGACAACATTCCAAGGCAACAAAAGCAGCAACATCGCCATCATCAATACATTCGCTGACCAGCGGCGGCGGCGGCGGCGGCGGCAGCAGCAGCAGCAGCAGCAGCAGCAACTACAGCAGCTACAGCAACTACAGCAACAGCAACAGCAACAGCAATAGTAATAGCAATAGCAATAGTAACATCTATGGCAACAGTATCATTCACAACGCTGCATACTCATTAGCAGTTTTTAGCTATAAGCAACAGCAGAAGCAACAGCAGCAGCTGTCACAGAAACAGGCACAAAGCAATCCTAATCTAAGCAATACTCAACATCATTATCACCAGATGGAACAGGAGCAGCAACAGCATTCGACCAGTCTCAATGGCTCGCCTGAGAGCAGCACATCGCCAATTGCAGTGGGGCAGCAGCAACAGCATTTACATCAACAGCAGCAGCAGCAACTTAGTAAACATGAGCCAACGGGAGCTGCAACAGCAAATGCAACTGCAACTGCAACAGCAACAGCAACAGCAACTGCAACAGCAACAGCAACGGCAGCAACATCCAGCTATAAGACTGCCTCCTGTTGGTGCTACGGTGAGTTTGATGAAAACACGCTATCAAATTCAGAAACTACAAAATAAACGATGCGCACGACTTCTTCTAAATATTCCACACATCCATCTACAAATTCACAAAAAAAAAAAAAAAAAAAACACTTGCTCTCTCGCCCTCTGTTTCGCTCTGTATTTATATTTTGCTCACAATTTGCTGTGTTTGTTAGCAACAAAGCAGTGAGAACAAGCAGTACAACTACAATAACATCAATCAATCAACCAATCAATCAATCGCCATGTCACCATCTCAACATCTGCCGCTGCCGTCGTGCCATAAGAAAAATGTATAAAAAATAAAAGCCAACCGAAGAATTGCATTAAATGCATTGAATAAAACTAGAAAACATAGTAAAAAAGATTTAAATATCTTAAGAAACATATATAATGAAATAATAATCAAACATCAGGCATACCTACACACACCGACACACACACACACGCACACCCATCACATCTCTCATTCATATGCTTTGAATGTAGATACGGTCGAGATTGCATTAAGTATACGCAGCGTGGCCCAGCCCGCCTTGACTGTGGTCGCTAGCCTAGTTCGAGCGTAGCGTCTGGGGTAGACATAATTCAAACTGCAAGCTGCACTCCTTTGTGGCACATAAAAGCAACCCAATGTGGCAACAGAGTTTGCTTTTGCCGCACTTCACGTTTTTCTATTTTTTTTTTTTGCCATTCCTTTTGGGTGCTGTTGGGACGACCTGCTGGCTGGATTGGGCACACGTGTGTGTGGCCTGGGCTGGGCTGCGTCTGTTCTCTATGCGCTCTATGTGTGTTGCATGCATTTGCGGCTGAGCCAAGAGTAGCTACGCGAGCAGCTAGTTCTACTTTCTGGCACTTGCTGACAGCTGTGCGCCTCATTTCAGCGCTCGTATCTAATTAGAGAAATTGTTTTGAAGGACACTTAGCTTCAAGTGGCAGCAAGATGACGACACAGATTTTAATTCTAAATGTGACAGTGCGGGTGGCAGGGGCACGTCAACCACATTGGCTAAAATTAAACCCAGCCGCCGAGTCGCTCAAGTCTGATGTTGCGTCTTCGCTGCGAACGGGCGAGCGATACAGTCAGGTGTGCCAGCTGCAACGTCGAGCTGTTCGATGTTGTTTGTTGTTTGTTGTTTGTGTTCTTTTTGTTATTTTTATAGCCTTGTTTTTCATTTGTTTCGCTATGAGCGATTGTTTTGTGTAATAGAGCATCTCCGCTTGACACATTTTATTAATTGAAATTTGTTTACTCGCTTGTGCGGTACAGATCGCACCGACTATAATGAATGCAAGGAAAATTAAATTGAAATGTGGCTTCGGTCAAGTCTCTACTGTGCTATGCTCTCAAAAAACGTGACACACACACACACACACAAACACACATACACTCACATCGTAGACTGAGGCACAAATGACGTCAGCGCGTTGCATATCTTAGCCTTTGTCTAATATAATTAACGTGAATTGGCAATGTATCTAATGTAATGCTTGTTTTTTACCTCTGTTTCATTTTAGGTGAGTCAGTTTGTTCTGGAATTGAGGTTGAAATTGAAAATAATAACAATAATCATAATCATCATGGTAAGCTTTGTCATACTTTCATTAAATACCATTAACATTCATCTTTGTAATGCAAAACGCAGCGAAAAGTTTCTTAATATCCACTCGAAAAGACTATTTCGTCTTTTTGTATGTAACTTTATTTTTCTCTGTGTATCTCTCTCTTACTCTCTCTCTCTCTCTTTCTATTATACCCAGTGGCTGCTTTTGTCTAACTCGCAAAATAATCTGTTTAAGCTAAACTTGTTAACTGACAAACGCAAACTGATTTTAATTGGGCAAAAAAACATTACGAGGGGTCAACCTATTAACCTCTGACCCTTGACCGCAGATCACTGACCAGCTAACACAATCTGACCGTCTGACCGGTTGACCAGTTGACCAGTTGACCAACATTAACGTAGAGCGCTTCAGGCCATTGCCAGCGGGGCAGATTGCGGGGTTAGAGCTTTTCACGTCTCGCCAGCATATTGTGTGTGTTGCATCCTCATCCTCTCATGGCTTGCCGAAACAGCATTTCCATTAACATTGACAACATCAGCCACAACAGCCAACAACACAGTACAGTAAACATTCGAATGCATGTCTCCTACCAGCTAACAGCTAACAGTTAACAGCTATCAGCTAACAGCGCCATTCTCTTTCCCTCATAACTCAACTGATAACTGATCAAACATTCAAAGCATTGCATTCGTCCCGCAGCGAGCGTCCTCGCGCCGCCCGAACGTCTACCAAATGCTGTTATTATTTTGAATTTGTAACCTGCTAAACAGCTACCAGAAGTGTGCTAAGATCGACGGGGCAGTCCCGACTGCAGTAACAGTTACAAAGAGCCAAACCAATTGTAAACACTAATCAATGGGCGCACTGTGATTTGTCTTTATTTTGTTGACTTGCAGGCGACACCACATTTCACATGAAAATTCTGGTGCCCGCGGTGGCCTCCGGAGCCATCATTGGCAAGGGGGGCGAGACGATTGCCTCCTTGCAAAAGGACACGGGTGCTAGAGTCAAGATGTCCAAATCGCATGACTTCTATCCAGGTGAGTTGCCGCTGCAATTAAACTGCAATGGGATGTTCAAGTATCTTTTGGGTCTTCCCTGCGCCAGGTACTACTGAGCGAGTCTGCCTCATCACCGGCTCCGTGGAGGGCATCATGACCGTGGTCGACTTTATAATGGACAAAATACGGGAGAAGCCCGACTTGACCACAAAAATCATTGATGCCGAGTCTAAGCAGGCGCAAGAACGTGATAAGCAGGTGAAAATATTGGTGCCCAACTCGACTGCTGGCATGATTATTGGCAAGGGCGGCGCCTTCATCAAGCAGATCAAGGAGGAGAGTGGTTCCTACGTGCAGATTTCCCAGAAGCCAAAGGACGTTTCACTCCAGGAGCGTTGCATAACCATCATCGGCGACAAGGAAAACAACAAGAACGCTTGCAAGATGATACTCTCGAAGATCGTGGAGGATCCTCAGTCGGGCACATGTCTGAACGTCTCCTATGCAGATGTGAACGGACCCGTTGCCAACTTCAATCCAACCGGCTCGCCCTATGCCACCAATCAGAATGCCATCAACTCAAGCACCGCCTCGCTGAACTCCACGCTGGGCACGGCCATTGGTGGCCCAGGCTCTGCGGCCAGTCTCTTGGTCAATGGCATCAACCTATCCCTTAACTTGAGCGCCCCCAATCCAGCGCCCAATCTAGCGGTTGCCACACAGTTGTTGGAGCACATTAAGGTGCGTGGCTTGCGTAGCTTTAACCACAGATCAATTTGACCCACTCGCTCTTCGCCACTTGCAGGTTGCCATGCGCGGTGCTGGCTATTCGGAAACCGCCACAAATGAAGTCTGCGCCGCCCTCGGGGTGCTGGCCAAGTACGGAGTGCTCGGCATGGGTGTGGGCGTGCCGCACACCAACGGCGCACATCCCACGCTGGCCAACTATTTGGGCGTCACGACGCTGGATCAGCAGACAGCAGCCGCAGCGTCAGCGGCCACGGCCAGCAATGTTTTCGGCGCTGTTGGGCAGGTTAACTTTGAGTATGCTGCCGCTGCGGCCGCTGCTGCGGCGGCCAGTCGGCCCACGCAGTCTCAACTGGAGGTGCAATTCGATTCATTCCGCCATCTGGGCTCGGCCACTGCGCCCGCTGCCACGCCCGTTTCGCTAAATAATAACAGCTTTGGACTGACCGGTGCCACCGGTACGGTGACCAGCGCGCAGCTGGGAGCTGCCGCCTCGATAGGCGGCCTAAGTAAGAGCCCCACTCCGGGTGATCTGGGCGCCAAGGATACCAAGAACGTTGAGGTGCCTGAAGTGATTATTGGCGCTGTTTTAGGTGGGCCACCTTTCTATTATTCCTACTAAACTGACAACAACAACAACAACAACAGCAACAACAACTGCAGCAACAACAACAACAGCAACAAACAGACACTTGATTCCGTTTTCCAGCACCCCTTGGACCCGTTCACCCAGCCCATTTGCATATTTTGTGTTTATCAATGCGATTACTTAATTGTAGGACTTAGCTGTAGTTATACACGTAGGCATAACAAAAGAGACGAAGCCATTGCACACATTCCACGGCAGGCATTCCAAGTGTTTTTCTAGTAGATAGGCGATCATCAGATCGGATGTTTGACCATTTGCATACGCACTCCTTAAGGCATTCCCAATTAAACAAATATAAATATCTAGCGAAATTTCTAGTCAACTTCTTGCCCACTCACACATAGCACCAAACATGATCCCATGCTCCATCCATGCACGCTGATGCCATATGCCATTCCGGTTTATTTTCGAAAGTTTTCGAAGTTGAAAATTCGCTCATCCAACTGCCCGACACCTGTCAAGGGAGCAGTTAACAAAATAGTTTTCAATTAGCAGTAGGCAATATGTTGAGAACATTTTAAGTCGTAACGAATTTTTGTTATCCATATTGAATATGTAAATACCTAGTATACTATATATTGGAATAGTGCAATTATTGGGTTTAATTTTTGATTGTTTATTCTTGCAGTACGCACTAATTATTACCTCAGTGTCGCAGTTTGCATAGATATTTAGGTCAGGCCACATCTATATTCAAATAGAATGGAATAGATACGTATAAATTTCTTTTATTGATGTTGGTCCTTAAACATACTTCAGATTAAGTTTTTCCTTCAACACGGGCCCACATGCTCTACCCACACACACACACGAATACATACACACACACACACATATATATATATATATACACATATATATATGAATATATATAATAATTTACCATAATTACCACATTTAACATAATCTGATGCAAATATTCCAGGTCCGAACGGTCGTAGTTTAGTTGAAATTCAACATGTTTCTGGCGCAAATGTGCAAATTTCCAAAAAAGGCATATTCGCACCTGGCACTAGAAATCGCATTGTAACCATAACTGGTCAGCCGAGTGCCATTGCCAAAGCGCAGTATCTAATTGAACAAAAAATCAACGAGGAGGAGACAAAGAGGGCGCGTCAAATTCCATTAACCACTGTTGTGAATTAATAATCAAGCAATCAAGCAACCAGCACAACAACAAAAAACAACAACAACAACTATCCCCCCCATTTAAAAACGTATTTCCTCAAAAAACAAAACAAAACAAAACAAAACAAAAAGAAATGGTTCATTTATTTAAACAAAAACAACAAAAATACAATATGCAAATGAAAAACTAAAGGAAGACAAAGCTAATTTAAAACAAATAACATCAGTAGTAGCCATACACACTCACACACACGCACACACACATACATTATTAAAGGCATTAGCAATGCATTGAAAATTCTGATGGAAATTGCTTATTAAAACAACGTAAAGAAACATGAATTCGAAGCCTTAGCAAATCTGATTTGACAGAAAACCTTGTAATATAACTACTGCATTTGTTGCCACGCTCACTATATGCATATATGTATGTATACTCATATATATGTGTATGTATATATTCAAATTTGACCAATACACTTGGAATTATAATACCTTTGCTTTGTTTTTTTGTTGTTGTCATACGTTGCGTGTTTTCTTTTTGGCATCCTGAGAAGCTAAAACTTATCCGGTGTATGCTTATATAAATATATCGCCAGATGCAGATATATATATATATATATATATATGTACACATATGTATAAATATGCATATACATGTATGCGATTCATAAACTAAACTAATTGTTGGCTCGTCTTCATATAACATAAAACACACACACACACACACATGTAAACACAATTCAAGCGAGTAAATTAGCATTATGTTGAGACTAAAAACAAATGAAAAAAAAAATGAAAATGAAAATGGATATGTTTGTGTAATGAGAGCGTTTTCAGTGAAAACATCAGGTGATTTCCAAAAAAAAAAAACAGAAAAAACGAAAAAATGGTGTCCAAATAAGGTAAATATTTTACTACACACACACTCACACACACATGCACATACAGACATGTATATGCTGTTAAATATATGTACAATAAATACACCTACCACAAAATGAAAAGATGGAAAAAATGAACGCTTGACAGGCTAGTGATAATAACTATTTGAAACACTTTTTACCTCAAACACAATTCTGATTGCGTTTCTTGTTTTCTGTTTCCGTTTTCGTTTCTGTTTCTGTTTTCTGTTGTTGCCCTCATGTGCTTATTGCTATGTTTACATATATATATGTATGTATATATGTCAGTACATATACATATATGTAGATCCATATATATATATATATATATACATATCTTTATCTGTATATATACACACACATATGTTTATACAAATAATACGTTTTAGCCCTTAATATTCTATTATGATATATATTGTTAAAATGTTGATCATGATAATGTTGTTTAATTTAATCGAGTGGTACAAAGAATACCAAAATATACAAGTGGTGTTAATGTTTTGCGCGCGCACGTGAGTCTCCTTTTTGATATTGATTTTATGCTCCTTTATGCTAATTTGTTAATCCTCATACTTATGTTTTGAACGTCTGTGCGACCGACTTCGTAGTTTCCAGTTCGAAGTGGATTCCCTGTTTTATTTTTGTTCTTATTTTTTTTTTTTATTCTATATATTGGCCCATAGAATAAAGAAGACCCGTTTGGCACATTGTTACTTTCATCATAATTATTATTATAAATTGTTTTGGAATACTTTTCACCCTTATTTTTGACATACATTCTAATCTTAAGTGCTACATTTTCTCTTCTTCACCCCAAAAATACATCACAATTTACTTTAATTTAAAATAAATATTTCAATGTCTCTGTAAAAAAACATACCCACACACAAATCGGCCAAAAATATTCCTTTTAATTGTTAAGTATCGTGCAATTATATTTTCAACTCAACTCAACTCAACTCGTACTTCATCCAAAAATCGAAGCATTGCAAAACAAAAACAAATAATTATCCTTGCATCACATTGAAGTTTGTTCTATTCATTGAAACATGCCCATATAAATGAACTACCTATAAAGATACACACAAATTGTTTTACTTTGGCCACCCACACACCCACACACACACACACACTTATTATGTAGTTTAAAGCTCCCTTTATTATTGACTAAAAGAAGAAGAAAAGCAAAATTAAATAAAAATATTGCCAAAAACGAAATAAACCAAAATTTGAATGTGTTTAATTGAAATATCATTATTCGCCAAAAACCACTCACAACCAACCACAGCTCCACTAACAGCGAACTCTAAACAATTCTGCAACATTATCATGTCAATCAACAGTCAGTCAGTCAGTCAATCAATCAAACTCTCAGTTCAGTTCAGTTCGATATGTAAGTTTCAATCTCGATTTCAAAACAATCACTGAAAACGCTCAAAAAATGAAAAAAAAAAAAAAAACGAAATGAAAATTATAAACCCAACTCTAAGCTAAGTATATGAAAATAAGTTGAAAAGTTGTTCACATTATTTTATTTTTATTTTTTGCTATTATTGTTAAAGCTTATCTACATTTGTTCTTATTTGTGCAATATTTATATAAATAATATAAGAATAATAATAAATTGCGCCAGACGAAGAAGAGTTAAATAGTTGCAAATATTCTAAAAACAAAACCCAAATTGTGACAAACATAAACGCTTTAGTAAGCATTGACACATACACGAGGATTAACAAAATGAAACACAATCTTAAGTCAACTAAAAACAAATGAATATAATATTGAAATATTGAAAGTACAGTCGAAAATGCTAGTGTGCCTTGAAACATGCAAAAAAAAAAAAAATCTAAAAACAAAAACCAAAAAAAAAGAGGAAGAAAAAGAAGTAATTTGTCGGATATTTTTGTTTGTTTGTTATGACGTATGTTTAAATTTTTACATAATTCAATAATTATTGATTGCCAGCAAGAGAAGCAAGGCGTACAGAGTGCAGGTTAATAACAGAATAAAAACAAATAAATAAACAACAATAATAGACCGTCAATCCAAATATGAGTAGAAGAAAACAAGCAATATAAAGACTACAACGATGAATAACATTGAATTCTAAAAATACAATTTCGTAGAAAGTTATCTCGAGTGCTCGATTCAGCCAAATCGGAACAAGCATAAGACACTGAAAACCTCTTAGGCCTTCCCTTCCATAACCACAACAACAACAATTACAGCAACAACAACAAATGTAAACAGCAAAATTCGTACATTTTATCGTCTTTTTTGTCATGGCAAACCAGAGAGAAGCAACGGCGCCATGCATATACACAGACATATTAGATATGCGCAGGTATATGGCATATTCATAGATACCTCACACACACACACATCCGCACACATCCGCTCACACACACATGCGAACCTGCATGCATAGCTACACGATGCATACACATTGGACATACTTAAATATTATCATATGCGCCTGCTCACTGAGTTATGTTAAATGTATGAGGTTTATACGGTATCTTCTAATTAATGTAGAGAAAACGAAGAAAAAAACATAAAAAAACAAAACAAATATACACATATATATTTGTACTGGATCTGTGATATGTATTTAAAAAAAAGAAAAATAAAAGAGAGAAAACACAAGCAAACAAAAAGCGAATAGCTATTATTAACAAGCATATACATATGCATATATATGTATGTTGCGTATAGATATCGATTTAAACGAAACACGAAATTAATTATGAAATAATTAATTTATTCTGAAATGATGAAAAGCTTTACTTCAGAAGCAAAACAAAGGAAAAAACTAAAACAAATTTTTACTAAAACAGCGGGCATTTTCTTTCATTTACCCAACAAATATTTGCCACTGGTCCGAATTGTTTGCGTTCTTGTCCTTGTCACCAAGTCGAAGCCTAATCAAATTTGACCCATTTCAATGTTAACAAGACCCATGTCTATGCCACGCCACGCCACGCCATGCCGACCGATGCCAGATCGCCTGAGAGTGCGTGACGAAAAAGAAGACAAAATCTGCGCTCTGGGCTCCAGCCCGACAGATCATGTGACTATGCTTGTTTTTCTTTTCGCTGTATAATAAGCCAGCTTCAATTGTCCAAAATATTTACATAGATTCTCAATGCATCTCCTCTTCTAAGCCGGATTGTTCAAATAGTCAAGTCAACTAACAATTCAATCGGTCTACATATTTGAATCATTTCATAACATCAATCAATCAATCAATCAATCAATCAACCAATCAACCAATCAGTCAATCACTCAACCGCCTCTTTTCCCAGCATCCGCAACACTTCAGTTCAGTTTTAGATCCTTCGGAGAGGCGTACGCATATTTTACTTTGCGAGTTTTATAAAAGTTATTAAAAATGCTGTTATTTCAGCGACGGAGTCTATTAGAGTTAAACTAGTGCAAATGAAAATTAAGCAAAATAAACTTTTATTAACTATATATATATAAATATTTCAATCTTGACTTTAAAACGTTAAAAAAAAAAACAATAAAAAAAAACAATAAAAAAAACAAGAGCGCAAGTAAACGAAAACGAAAGAAAAAGTAAAATAAATGAACCACAGTTTTTGCTCTGTAAAGAAATATGAATAAAAACGTACATAATAAGAGGAATTTATCAATAAACATCAGTTTTACTTTCGTTTGTATGCTAAAAACAAAAATACATACATACATATACGCATGTATATAGTGTGTAAATCGTAAATGAAATTGTTACTTATCATTTTTGTTATGCTTTGCCTCCACACTGTTATTAGGACAATTAAATATAAATGCATAAATAATATGTACACACACACACATATATATAAACTATGATATACAAACACACATACATACACACATGTGCAAATGGAAATAATATATGAATGTAAACCTCTGTGGCAAGAGCGAAACAGTACAGATTTATTTATCACGTATACGCAGCGTTTGCAGGCATTGATTGTTACTTTGCTGATGCCATGCAAAAGAAGAGAAGGGAAAAGAATAATCAAAAGCTGGCATAAATGCATACATATATACATACGAATATGCAGTTGTCCACATTTGCCATTATGTGTAAATAGGCGCATATACATAGATCTACTACATTTAGTATGGTAATTGGCAACAACAATAATAAGAAGCCGTCTAACAACCACAACAACAACAGCAACAACAACACATTGAACCTATTAATAATATTAAACAAATTATATTTGAATATATATACAAACCTACATACATACATACTAAATATAAAACTAGTTGTTAGCGTGATACATCAAATTATTATTATTAATTAATTCATACAAATAAATGGCCTAACAATGATACAAAACAATCTCCAATGGTGCTGTGCGGAGTTGCACCTTCAATGGCCACGCCCCCGTCGCATGCCCCTAGACTTAGCGGCATGTGCAGCTCAGCTCAAAACCTTGCAACATTTATTTGCCACGTTGGATATTTTTTTGTTTGTCCCTTATCAATTTAAGCAAACGTAGCCTTGGCTCGAGCCATTAGGACTAAAACTATTTATGTAAAGGTAGTCATACTAAAGTTCATTAAACGCAGTCACAGTCAGAGGTTACCTTCTTTTATATATATATATATATATATGATCAAGTCCAAGAGAGTTACGAATTGTTACAATCAGTTCAATTTCACAATTGCATCAGTCAGTAGTAAGGCCAAAAAAGTTAACTCTTGTTCATAATCGAAGTTTTTATTTCATTCTCGTATATAACGTAGATTTCAATGGAGTCAAAAGAAAACCTAAGCTAGTAGAAGCATACGTGAGTACCTTAGGATGAACAAAATTTAACTAATAATAGACAAAGGCGCAACGCTGCCTCACGTTGTGGCAAAAGTGGGGGGCACAACGTGCGCAGTTTCTGTTGAAGCTTTTATACAAGCCACTAGATTTTACAATTAATGCAGCAACACCAAAAGTATATAAAAGTAATATATTAACAATACAAAACAAAAACAAAGATTTACCTAACAAATTTCTTAGACAAAGTCAACAACTACTTACTATATAACGCATTGTCCAAGTATGGCAAAAAGAGAGGAAAACAAACCACTTTTTACACGAAAATTTATCGAAACTCAGTTTGCACTTTACGAATACAAAGAAACGAAATCTAAATGTTAATACACGACAATTTTATAAAAGTATGAAGCGAAAACCTCAATTAAACGTTGGTCATTTGAAAATGCTCGTAATCGCAGACATTCAAGCAAGCTAAACATCATGGAAACTCATTCAAAAGTAAAAGTACTAAATCTTTTATGATTTGACTGTGATAAAAAAACAAAAATAAATAATGACAAGAGACGAAGTGAATGAAAGTGAGTTATTAACAAATGAATTGTATAATAGAGTATGTATAAATTGAATCTATGTATACACACACACACACACACACTCACACACACCAACAGACACACACACACGAAAGTGACATTAAAGTATGTGTAGGTGCACTATTGCGGCTCTTAAGCAAAACCCAATAAGTAGAAGAAAATTCTTTGGATGGCTCGAGCCCATTGGGCATCGCCATGTACGGCCTAGGATATGTTGTTTAATTAGCAATAATATATAAGTACGTATTTACTTACTGCGAAACAAAAACAAAAAGAAGCGTATAAAAATATGAAAGTTTTACTTATACATATTAGCAAAATATTTAAACAAATTTTAGCAACAAAATATCGAGGAAAGTATCGAGAAAAAATAACAAACAAACAAACAAAAAAGCAAAACTTCATTATTAACTAAATGCAATAATTATATATATATATATATATACATATATATATATATAAACAAAAAAAAGTAAACAAAACAAAATATAGATGATATTTAGTTATGCTCTATTCAAATTTATAATCAATTGAAGTTTTATATAAAGATGATATTCAAACTAGCGAAGCAGCAGGTTTTATAAATATATATTTACCCATTAGTTTATTTCAATTTCGAATATCTCACGCAACCTTCATATAGAATTTCATTTCTCAATTCTCAACATATGTTGCTTTGTTGTTTTCTTCTTTTTTTGGAAAGATCAAAAACAAAAACTAAATTTATGAATACAAATAGTCTAGAGTGTTAAAAAGAAATCAAAACGTAACGTAGCTCATTCAAGTTTTAAAGGAAAAAGAAAACGTAATTTTTGAATCTTCTCGTATAATAAACGCAAATCTTGTACAATTTGGATGATGGCGCCAACAGGCCCGCCCAACTTAAAGAGTATACAACAAACCAAACAGTTACCCTCTCTACATATTAATTATATACAAATGCATATAGTACATTTAACCTAAGGAATCATACTCCAAATCAAATGAAATGCAACTCTTTACGATCAGCGCGACATATAGCCAAACAGCATCAGCAGCAGCTGGATACAATAAAAAATAGATGGAAAGCAAATTCAAGCTAGTTAGGATCGGGTGTATCGATATTAGACATTCTACTGAAGAAATAATGCTAAAGGTAAATGGTAATGTTAGTAGTCATAGTGAAATTTGTTGAGTGCATATTTATATACACTGACGAGCAAAACTGTAACACATGTTCAATGTTCTCACTTCAACGGTCTGTATTATCTTTTATACTTTATGCATGATTATGATCATAGTCTTGTTTTGTTAGTGAAATATTTGGCTCTTTTATTTATAAATTTGAAGACATTTGATTAGCGATAAGAGAAATACAATAGCAAAGAGTAAAAAAAGTCAAATGTTACAGTTTTGCACTCGCAGAGCAAAACCTATTTACTTTTGTTTCAAAGCTTTTTTTACCATTAAAACTTATTTGTTTTTGTTTAAATCGATAAACCTTGATCATTTTAAGTCAATTTGCAAAATAATTATGATGGCTGATGAAAAGAAAAAGGAAATAATCGAATTATTGATAGGGGCGAATCCGTTAGGAAAGTGGCTAATAAATTTGGTGTTAGCCACATGACTGTGCAGTGTTAAAAACAAAAACAGTTCAGAAAACATTAAAATCAATAAAGGAGGCCGACCGCGACTTTTAAGCCAACGTGACACGCGCCACTTGGCTAACTTAGTTACAGGCAATCGCGACTTTATGCCAATAAAAGCGGCTAATGTGTTAAATTTAAATGCCAGTGAGTGGACAGTCCGTCGCAGTCTCGGCAGATTGGGGCTTAAGGCCAATGAAAGAAAAAAAAAAACCATTTCTAGCTAACAGGCACATTAGTTTGCGTTAGAAACTGTGCTATAATGCATGAAAATTTGGCTCTAGCTGATTGGGATGCCATAAGTTACAAATAAAAAGCTTAAACAATGCTAAACAAATTTTTTCAAGGTTATTTGGTCAGATGAAACTAAAATTAATCGTTTTGAGTCAGACGGACGACGTGGTATTGGACTAGGAATCCCACAGTCCAATCGGCAAATACAGTGCGGTGCACGGTGGCGGGTCCATAATGGTTTGGGGCTGTATTTGTACAAATGGAGTTGGGCCCTTACTGTTAATCGATGGGATAATGCGTAAGGAGCAATACCTAAAAATTTTTCAAGAAAATTTGGGAGGAGTCATTGGCAACATGGGTCTGGCTGTTGAAAATTGCATTTTTCAGCAAGACAATGACCCAAAGCACACATCCCATTTGGTGAAAAATTGGTTATTGAACCAAAAGTTTCAAACTATGAAGTGGCCACCGCAATCTCCAGACATGAATCCCATAGAAAATGTATGGAGTCATCTGAAATCGCAGCTTGCGAAATATACGGCCCCTCCAAATGGCAGGATGGAGTTGTGAGAGAGAACGAAGGACGTTTGGTACTCGATTCCACCTGAAATGGTGCGACGCTACACGCAAAGTATGCCAAACCGTATAAACAACCTCAAAAAATCAAAAGGGCTGTGGACCCGTTATTAAAAAAAATTTAATAAAAATATTTGTTTAAAAATATTTGCAGTGCAAAACTGTAACATTTGACTTTTTTTACTCTTTGCTATTGTATTTCTCTTATTGCTAATCAAATGTCTTCAAATTTATAGATAAAAGAGCCAAATATTTCCCTAACAAAACAAGACTATGATCATTATCATGCATAAAGTAGAAAAGATAATACAGACCGTTGAAGTGAGAACATTGAACGTGTGTTACAGTTTTGCTCGCCAGTGTATATTCATACAAATATATAGATACACGCATAACAGACCGTAACACCAACAAATTACAAACACAAGATATGACGAGATGTTAGAAGATCCATAATGAATTAACAGAAGTAATTGTAAAGTAAAAATCCAAGTCAAGGTACATCAAGAGTTATAAAATACACATACATATAACATGAATTACACATTTAAGAAAGATTATATAAAAATAAAAACAAAACAAAAAAAATAATAAAGAATATATTAAAAAAACAACAAAATGTCTTTTAATTTTGAACTATATACATTTTAATTATTTTTCATTTTGCTTATTGTAAACTCAAATGCAAATTTTCTTTCAGATATTATTTACAATTTATTTGTTTGCCAACTTGGGTGGACAGTCGGGCTGACTGTGAGGATGGCAGGTGCGAATAATTTCATTAGCTGCTAAAGTCTGGTCGAGCTGCACAATTTTGGGATACGCATCCAGGTTGACATGGTATCTGAAAGGTGCAATATGTTTTAGTTATTGACAAATTGTTGTGCGTATGGAGCTCACCTTCTAGCATTGAAAACCTGTGGAACTAGACAGCAGTCTGCCATGGAGATTTCATCCCCTACACAGTACTTGCCAGACGAAGCGGCGAGTACGCTCTCTAGACCACGAAAGCCACGTGATATCCAATGCTGCGCCCACTCCATGCTCTTTTCCTTACCCAGATGGGCTAATACAAGGCGATTCTGCAGTGGCTGAATGCCCGAACAAATTATCTCGACAATCTCGCGCACCTTGGCACGCTTATGCGGATCTTGAGGCAGCAAGGGGTTTTCCGGTCGTGTTTCATCCAGATAATGCATAATGGCCACCGAATCACAAAGTGTCTGTCCATCTAAACTCATGATTTAGATTATACATATTTATCAGTTGCTCAAAACTTACCGATTTTAAGGGCTGGCACCTGTTGCATGGGATTAATCTCCCGATATTCATTCGTATAACAGTATGTAGCATCAGCCTTGGTCAGACTGGTTGGCCTAATATCATATGGTATCTTTTTCAAGCCCAGTGCAATACGCACTCGCCAGGAACACGAACTGTAGTAATATGAGTAAAGCACAGGCCTTGTATCGCTGGAAGCCATAGAACTGGAACTACGTATCCGATTCTTGGCCAAATGTAGATATTTCCGTACATTGTTTCTAAGTGCACTCATATTGATTTGACTAACTCAATACTTTGTTTTCGTTTATATACTCGTCTAGTAAGTGCAGCTAACTGAAGGTCGTTCCGAGCAGCACTTATCAGTGGCTGGACTATCGATGCAAAAAATATCGATACAGAATTCATGTAATCTACTCGATATTTCGAGACTATGAGTGATCGACGCAATTTAGTTTGGTAAGAAGTTTATTTGGTTTTTCTTGTTTGTAATACATATGTAGTTAATATTTGGAACTGTTACAATATTGGGGATATTAACATACTATATGTTAGTCGGTTTGAATGTGAAATCAGGCCATTCGCCTAATAGCTACCTGATAGCTGCCTGACAACCATTTGCGGGCTTGATTTGAAAGATCTACCACGAAATTTATTTGAAAAACTAGCAATCAACTGGTACATACAATATTCTTTAAGTGCATATGATTTGAGTAAATGAATACAGATTTTACATTTGATTTTTTCAAATATAAATAGATTTGTTTTAGCAAAGAGACATTATTTATTTTATTTTGAATATATTTTAGTCACAAGAGAACTCTATCGCTCTGATTAAATGCCTAAGTATGGTGAGTATATAATGTCTGTCGTATTCCTTATATACTTTCAATAATTTGAGAGTTTTTCTTTTGGTTTTTCCGTTTTGCCTGCTAATGGAGTTTACTTCCTCGTTGACTGAAGTTTTGTACTTTCTTTAAAAAGTTACGTTGTAAAGCGCCCAACTTTTCTAGTTAACTTACATATGTATGCATACGTGTTTTTTGTTTATAGAATGTAAATTTGCACTTAAATTATTTTCATTTTTTAAATCCCTGAATACAATTTTGCTTTTCGTCATGATTAAGTTTTGCAAATTTTTTTTTGTTTTTTTTTTTTGGTTTTTTGAATTTGTTTTGTTTCTGTTAGCCTAAATAAAATTCATAAAAATACGTTTTTACATATGAGTACATCTTTTAGACCATTTTTTCATATTGAAAAATAAAAGAAATTATACAATTTTTGACTTTGTTTTTTTTTTTTTTTGCATTTTTCGAGAATAATTAATATTGTTTTGCATGCCAATTAAAAATTTTAATATTTTTATCGATAGTATTTTTATGCATTTATGCATAGTTAAATGCTGTTAGCAATTTTTTGAATCACATCCGACTGTTTCTCTCCGCCTTATCAGCTGACTCTGCAGCTCCAAACACTATTCTTTTGCCTCTTTGTTGGGTTTCTTCCTGCTATAAATGTCTGTATGTTACAAACTGCAATTCACTTTTTAGTTTTGCGGCGCTTTGCAGTTGTCGTCGGAAAATTCTATTTGTTAGGCAGCTCCGGTGGACAGTCCGGCTGATTGGAAGGATGAGCAGCTCGGAATGCTGGATTGCTCTCCAGCTCACGATCGATTCGCAATATAATGGGATATGGGCGCAAGTCCACATGGAATCTGGGAAACAATTGTTAAAGCCACACATTGACCTGGAATGCTTATCTGAACGGCTTACCTTCTGGCATTGAATACCTGCGGCACTAGGCAACAGTCCGCCATTGAGATCTCGTCACCCACGCAATATTTGCCCGCCGATGTGGAGAGGGCCTTCTCGACGGCACGAAAACCACGTGTTATCCAATGCTGTGCCCATTCCTTCTTCTTTTCCTCACCCACGTGGATGAGCACAATGAGATTTTGAAGCGGCTGGATGCCAGAGCAAATAATCTCAATTATTTCGCGCACTTTGGCCCGCTTGTGTACATCTTGCGGCAGAAGTGGACGCTGAGGACGGGTCTCCTCCAGATAGTGCATAATGGCCACCGATTCGATCAGGGTATGTCCATCTAAATGGGAATTACGAACAATCTAGAAACTCTTAGCCAAATGGCATCGTTGCTCTATTTACCAATTTGTAGGGCCGGCACCTGCTCCATAGGATTAACTTCTCGATACTCATTGCAGTGCTGCTCTCCGCCCGACTTGATGAGACTTATTGGCTTGATGTCGTAGGGTATTTCCTTCAGGTTCATCGCAATGCGAACCCGCCAGGAGCACGAGCTACGCCAATACGAGTAGAGTATCGGCTGGGTATCAATAGAAACCTGGTTAGTAGACATATTCAAAGAATTTCCTCTGCCCCAATTGTTAGTTCGTGCTGTGCCGACCATCAAATGAAACCAAAACCTTAGCCAACTGTCGTATCAGACCCCTTTCGCGAGATGTGTGCTTGTTTCATTTGAATAAATAATTTAAGTCGACATAGAACAGGTTGCCACTGATAACGAGCAGACACACACACACACACACAGACATAACAACACACACCCTCATCGCATATTTAGCATAAAGCTCCGGCGAAACCAGTTTTTCTAGAGACTAACAAATTTATAACTAGTAAAAAAGTGCTGATAAAAAAATATATAATACATATGTATGAAGGTGTCTCTGAGGTGCGGTCACACCGGTTGTTACAGCTGCAATATAGAACTGCGAAAAAGCTAATGAGACATCCCATTTATAATTAATTTCTATATATGAAGACCTTTATTATATTAACTCTAATAATGCATTCAAAATACAGCTTAATTTACTGTTATTACATCATAATGTCCTACAGCCTCTACAGATGAACACATCCATCATACACATTGAATATTCGAAGTTTGTTTGCCTCAAAAACAAATACTTGCGACATTTGTTTTATAATACATATATATGTATGTATATATTACTACTCTTGTTCTTATCCACAAATGAGCTATTAGCCTAAACATTTATAAGCAGATATGGAAAAATACATTCTAACATTTGTCGAGAACTTGACCCGATTCTGTTTACCCATAAGTCGAAATAATTAAACTAATTATCTATCGAGGCCTCCAGGAGTAGTAATGATATTGGAAAGGAAAAATGCTTTATTGATTTTGTGCACTGCCTATTGGTATGAATGCTAGTTATTTGGTAAGTATTAAACAAAAGACCAAAAAACCTGATAAAGTGTCAAGATTTTTTGTAAAGAGTCATACGAAGAGGATAGCCTGTTAATCTGTCCTATGAATCAAGCTTAAATAAGAAACTGGCGCCCAAAAGGATCAAGGCAATTAGAAAAATATTTTATTAATTTTTTTTAGCTCTTATAGCCAGAGACTTCAAACTTAAAAGTGGGAAGATGGAAAATTAGGAAAGAACTATATCAACCACAATTTTGTTCAAGAAAATCACGTATTCTGTGTTGATTGCTTTTAAGTTCCAAATCTTATTTGAAAGGCAATTTTTGAACTACTATGTCTTCCGCAGATTTACAGGTGGGCGACCAAGTTCTGAAGGTGGATCCCTGCTGAGTAGTCCAATAAATGAAGTAGTTAGCAGGAAATATAATATCTTTCACAGTTCTGTACCAAAATTCTCTAATAAATAAAAGGCTGGATGATCCTCTTTATTACCATCTTCAATAATTCCCAAATAGGAATTCATTGATTGCTAATAAATTTAAAATGTTCAGCACCGTAAACAAGTATCATGCAGTCAGTTACGCTCTATTGCAACAGTTTTACTTTTTAAGTGTGTTTCACTATGCAATTATTTCTAATTTGCCCCACTTTGTGTTTGTAATACATTATTTTGATTCTATATCGATTTGATATAGATCAAATTTTTGTTTTTTTTTTGTCCGAATTTACAGAGGCTTTAAAGTATAACACTGCAAATGCAAGTGCATATTTCAAAGATCTTATATATATATATTCCACAGTTAACCTTCTTGACAGATTTTACAGCACAAACATATTTTCGGATCTTCGTTAATTAGCTATATTTTTATTTCGAATATTTCATTAATTTCAGTTTAGTTTTATTTATTTATTAATATTGAGCGGAATTTGTACTTTCCTCTTTCCTTGGAATACCCACATGATTCATATAGGGGCCTTGCGTTAATTGCCAAAGCTGCAAACGCTGCGAAAGTTATACACACACTGACCGAGTGTATCGAAGGACGAAATGCTGTGAGCAACAGTAACATCAGCCAATGGTCCCGGACAAGCGCCAAAATAATACGTTGGTATGTTTGAGTGTACATCTATATACCAAGGACCCTATTCTGTTCGGCCAAAAAGCAGCCGAATTCCTGGAACAAGCGACAGCCCACATAGGCCAACAAAGAATGATGGGTCTGGTCTGTATGTATATACCCACACATACATAAATATGGGAGCATAATAAGTTGTCTAAAAGTTCGTTGAACCCATGTGAAAGTAAATTCGGAAGTATCCCGAGAATGCCAGGGAGCCGAGAGTAGGCCGAATCGGCGCCGAGTTCCGATGTGTGTCGTACATCAAGGTCGGCTAGGGGCATTAACCTTAACCAATTTGACGTTGTCCTGGTCGCTATTAAGCAAAAGCAAGCCTGTACGACGCGCCAAGGACATTCGCAGACGGCCACAGCACGGCGCTCAAGAGTCAGCGCGAGTGCTGCAACAAAATGGCTCACAAGTTTCGCTAGGGTGCTTTTACTTATTAGGGGTTGCTTTTGAGAGCCGAAGATTGAGTTGTATGCGACTGACAGGGCTGTCGCGTCCGTCCTCTGAGGCATGCATCTCCACTGTGTCCTACTCCTAAACACAGCCTGGCAACTCTGTGCGCGCCATTTGGCATTGCGAACGCAGGCGAAAAAAGCTTTCGTCTGTGCGCATGTGCGAAATACGCATGCCTGCAGTATGAGTTTAACTCAAACCAGTGCCAGCCTCTGGCACCGTAGTATGAGTGAGTTTTCAGCAAACTTTTTTTTATCAAGGAGGCATCGTGCACGGAGGGAGTACTTACCTTGGCTATGGCCGAGAGGGACATAGCGTTGTGATGATACTTTGAGTAGTTAATTTTGAAGCCGTTTAAGCCGGACGCACTGCGAAAACGATAATTGGTGGACCGGACGGGGGTGGAGCTGCAGCAAAACTAGACGTGAGCTGCGTTAGGCAGTCGAATTCGAATCTAGCCACCACCGACACAATAATTATGTTTGATGATAACAAATGTGCATTTGCCAATAAGCACTGCACAGCTAGAAGGTTAGTTGGTTATTTGGTTATTTGGTTTAGCTGAATGCAGGCGACCCTAAATGCACTCAAAGTCAAACGAAACGATGGTTGAGGTAAGCGCGGAACGCGGGCGCAATGGACGCAACGACAGCGACAGCGACAACGACAGGATACGATGCCAGAACGCAACTGAACCACTAAACTAAATAAAGGAGTGCGAAAACGAAAGCAAAGGACACACGACAAAGCTAACAGTGCGGGGAGAGTCAAAGTAAGCGAGAGCCAAGCAGATAGATACAGAGCGAAAGAGAGAGGATGATAGAGTGAGACGGTGCGATGAAGTAAGAGAGAGCCAAAGCCAAAGGGTCGGGAGACCGCAGTGTGGATAAAGCATAGCTGGTTGTTGACTTTGCTAAGCTTTTAGCACATTTTCAAACCAATGAGCCGCAGTAGCTGCAAACGACCTGAGCAATAATTGAATGAAAAACCTTTTAGTTGTTTTCTTTATGACCACCAGTTTATTTGTGTTTTACATTTTTAAATTTTTCTTTTTTTTTTGTGTTACTAGATTTTTTGTAAGTTTACTTCATTTCCATTAAGGTTGCTCAAATGATTTTTGATTAAATTACACGACTTAAAGCTAAAGGTATGTAACATATGGACTAAAATAGTTAACAAATAGTTACAGTTTTGTTTCTATAGGAAAAAAACGTATAGAAATAAACACCTAATTTGTAAGTTTATACAACTAAAGCAACGTCAGGAAATTGAAGTTGAACTCATTACAAAATTTTATTTCTGTTTCGTTTTGTTTGTAGAAATGCAACAATGTGTATAACGACCTTAAAGCAGTCGCACAACCAATAGAATATCACACCAAAAAAATGGCAGAGTACAACGAATACAACAAAGTGTAAGAGAGTGGGTGTGCGTGTGTACGTGTGTGTGCCGGTGTGTGCCTGTGTATTTGTCTAAGGAGACAGCGGACATCATTGCTAACTAGTAGGTAGGTAACGGTAATTATCGTCGATCATCTGTGAGGCAGGGTTCTGTACAGATCTCACTCTCTCTTTGTCTCTTGCTAGTGGGTGTACCGGGTACAACATTCATAAAGTTTAACTACCTCAGCGCTACCTAAGTTGTCATCGTTGTCGTTTTGGCTAGCTAACAAAAGTAACTGTATAATATGTACGTGTATACATATGTTTGTATGTATTTATAAAATTGCCAACAAATCAATAAATTATTGTTGTAATATTTTTAGAAAATAGTGTCCATATATCATCATTTTCGGTACAATTTGCTTGCAAGTTATGCATACATTTCTTATATTCATGTTTTCTCGCTTAATCTAATACATTCGAAGAATTGACTACAATTTAATGGCAAGAGCCACACGTTTTTAGTGTTTTTTGTTTTGTTTTTTTTTTTTTTTTTTGGCTTTTTGTGAGTTTTTTTTTCAAGAAGTTTACATGTACACAACATTGTACGTTACACATACACATACAATACACAATAATCATAATAATCATAATTATTTTAATGTTAATGTTAAATATAACTGGTAACATCAGCTAAATACAATATGCTTCAATATGCTAAAAACTTGTCGTTCCATTATAATTATCAGAGATGCAGCCATAGTCGAACATTTTGTGACCATTTTAGCAAAATACATAATTTTAAAAATTATCTTTGGAGGGAATATTCATGATTCAAATATCTTTACGTTATTCAATTTGGCATCAAATTTAATATAGTAAAGAATTGTTAGCATGTGTATAAGAAACAATAAAATATCATATCCTTCATATACGTTTCAGTAACTAAAGAGCTCTATCGTTTTCGATTTCGAATTCGATTTTGGTTTAGTTTTCGGTTCGGTTTTCGATTCAGATTCGTTGAAAAAATGCATAAGTTATGTGGCAAAAAACATTTACATTTGGTAAAAATCGTAAAGCATAGTTTATATTAAATGATAGCACGTACATTAAATCTGCTTGCCATTCATATCAATTTGAATTTCAACTTCGATTTCAATTTCAATTTCAATTTACACCTATTTTGATCATCAGTTACAACCATGAAAACATTTATGTTTACATTCATGCATTTGTACCCATACTTATGTATGTCATATGTATGTACCATAAAATATTTCTTACCATCTCAATAATGTAGTATATTAGTACAGTATAAATATATGTATGTGTGTAAGTGTGTGTGAGTGTGAGTGTGTATGTCTGCATTTCAGAGAATTTACATGCTAAGTACGATTTACGTTCAACAAGAGGTTATTATAGCCTTTAAGCTAATGCCATAAAGTAACAGTTTATTTCTTTTATAAAAGATTTCTCCATACTACAGTTAAAACTTACGTCTGAGAGTTCTTGTGTACTTATTTATATATATATATATATATGTTATTTCTTTTCTTTTTTCCGTATTTCATAATATTTTTGGAGTGGATAAATCCTCGGCAATGAGCTGGAGCTACAAGACAAGAGTTACAAGAGTTACGTAGCGTAACTCTTCCCGCCTTAAGCGTAATCGCTGAAGATCTGTGCGACATATCCAATTTGAACACACGTATATAGGCTTGGGCTTGACTAACTGGATAACTCAGGAATAAATACCAATAATGAGTGAAGTAAAAAAAAATTGAAGGTTCAAAAAATTAGAGATCCTATGCAAGAAGTAAAATGTAAAGAAGTGTTTTTTAACAATAAATAAATAATTAAAAATAAATAAAAAATTGACAAAAATCAGTGAACTATTTCTGGAAAATGGCCAAGACCTTAACTGAAGGATTCTGCTTTCACGATATTGACCTTCACTACCAAAGTTATTAATGGATTGATTGTCAAGCCTATATACCCGTTTGCCGTACGAAGTTACACATATTTGCATTGCAGGCATTTAGCCTAAAAATGTTCTATTTTACTTATATACTAAACAGGAATACATCCATAGAAATGTACATAATGATTTCTGTGTCTGTTTCATATACATATATATGTATATATATTGAATGTTTCACTTATATTTTTGTATTTTAAATGAAATTGATATGTCTAAGAGCTATTATCAATCGTTATCAATTAAGAAAGTTATTGGTTTTTTTTCGAAGTAATTCAGTTGTCTTTGTTTTTTTTTTTAGATGCCTGCGCCTGTGGTAAACCCCATAAAAGAGGTTTCACGGCTTGCATGTAATTTGTATAGTAAAATTATTGTTAGAATCGGATGTCTGTACACATTTAGTACAGTTATAGACACACTTCTCGATTAGTATAGCTTAACATTAACTATTCCGAGTTTTATATTGTTTATTCACTTGAGTTGAGATTTTGAGTTTTTGAGTTGTTGAGCTAAAATAAGTCTGTGGCGTGCAGATCCAGCTTTCGTTAGGTATTTATATACAGATCTTATATAGTTGGCACATACACAGTAATCGAGCTTGTGTATTTGTGCACTGTATAAATAGTTATTATACTTTCTTATACACTTAATGAACAATCACAACGCAGAGTATTCGAAAAAAGTGCTGCTGGCGCCGCTGAGATTGCAGTTTTTCTTTTGTTTTTCGCATTTTTGGTTTTTGGTTTTTCGAAATAAGAGGAAAGTGAATATAGCAGAAAATACATTTCACAGATTGTCATATCTACTTTGTTTGCGTTTCGACTAATTCAAAAATAAAAATGCACCCAAATCACATTGAAATAACAGATTACAATATTTAATCAAGTGAAAGTGAAGAAAGATGCAACATAAAACTAAATAATATATATATGATATATGATAGACGATGAAACAAGAACCAATCGAAAGATGAATTCCCCACTTCGACTTATGTAGAAATTAAGACCTAGTTTAATATTATTATTATTTAACTCGTTTCTTATTTAAAATATGGCTTTGTGTCTTTAGGAAACTTTTTGATAAAGCAACAAAGTACTGATTATTCGCCTAATGTTACCTAAACAATACAGCTAAAGTTCAGAATTATTATTTATGGTATATACCTCTTGGATGAGCATACATTTGAAGACTTTATCGATAATACTTAGGATCTAAGCTTTGAAGGCATTTATTTTAAGTATTTAATCTCATCTTATACGTAAACATAAATTACTCTCGTGGAAAATGATAGGGAAACTGTGTAGCGTGTTGTGTTTGTAGAGAAAATGCACACAACAAAAGTTGAACAGCTCAGATCGGAAAACAGAGTTTCTACTGCTTGTCCATTGTCCGATATAAAATTGAGTTCTGCTAACATAGGCATATATATTGCATGTATGTATGTATAAAAATAGTGTAACTGGCTTGAGAATAGTCTTTAAGCGGCTTTCGAGGCCCACAACGAACTGTTTGAAGATACTTTGTGGTGGGTTTGCTTTAGCTAACGCTGTAGCTGTGGCTGTAGCTGTCATTGTCGCTGTCATTGATTACATGTGTCTACATATTTGCAATTATTTGGCTACGTATCGAATAAATGTGTCTACTAGTAATACATACTTATACACTCAGAAGTATCTAACGAACGATATACAACTAAGGGCTCTGAATAGGCCATCTATGTAAAGGAAAGGAAAGAAGGATTAAACAATTACAACGCAGGCAGCAAAAGATTATCTCGGCCCGATCGCAGCGGAGCCTCTATAAATATTGCATTATCCTATATGCTATATCCTACATCCTGCAGTCGCACTATTCAGAGTATTGAAGTTCAGGACTGGACTCATTAGCTAATACTTATTTACACTAAGCTAGCACTAGCTGCTGTAGACAATAAGCAAATTACAACCTCGAGAATTGCTAAAAGTTGTTTGTTTTGCTCTTTGATTGGCCGAATGTGTGTGGATATCGAGTTGTTGTTGTTGTTGTTGTTAGAGGTCTAAATACATTTGGGGTTTCATTACAGTTAAATTAGATTACATTATATATATATATATATTATACTTATTTACGTCATAATATACCACTGGCCTCGTAAACATTTATTGCGTACACTCAATTGATCTATTTGCTGTAGTACATTCGCTCACTCTCCAAATGGAAAACGTGTGATTCTTGTTGTTGTTCATTTTAATGGCAGATTTACTGTTTGTAGCATGTACATACACATGCACACATATATAATTAAGTACTATATATCTATTAAAAACTTTATATGTATGCTAATATATATATACTTTGGGGCTAAACGAAAAGCGATTTAAGTTTATGCCTCGAGGTGAATGAGTGTGTGTGTGTGGGTGTGTGTGTGGGTGTATTGTGTCTGATTGATCAATAAATATTATGTCTTTTATTCATTTGTGGAGAAACATTAAAATAATATTTGCTATTTAAGTACGTAATTTTAGAATTCAGTATGCTTAGGTATATTTACAATATATATTTATCTACTTATATGCATGTACTGTGTAGTTTCTATGTACAGTTTGTTAAAAGTTAAAATGTTTCAATTTGAGTTTCACTTTGTTTATTTCTCTTTAGCTAAAATCGTTTTTGATCTCACTCAATATCACTTGATTTCACTAGATTTTTTGTTTTACAATAGTTGCTAGAAGTGTAAGTACAATAAAAGATGTAAGTTAAACGCTTGAAATTTGTTGAACTGTGGCTTAAAACCTAAAACAACAATCATTTGTAGCTAGCGAGATATATATATATATATATATATAGACTCGTTCATTTACAAATCGGAACTCTTACGTACTAAACATGTACCGTAAAGTAACTGTGAAATGGGATGCAACTAGTTGTTAAGTAGAAAAACATTTAGTTAACAGTTACATACGCGCTACTAGATTTAATCAACGTGATTGATTTAGACTTAGAATCTAAAACTACAGTCGAGTCGAGAGTCGAGAGTCGAGAGTCGAGAGAAAAACGCCTACTATAAAAATACGGTAGGTATAGTAAAGTTTTCGTAACACAAATATTGCATTTGCCTACAATAATAGTTAATAACAATTCAATTTGAACTTGCTTCAATATTAGTTATATGTATGTACAAATTAGACTAAGACTCTGATTTTGTTTTGTGCTTGTAGTTAGTTAGAGAGATAGATAGATAGCTGGATAGTTGGGTAGTTAGATAGGAAGAGAGTGTGAAATGAGAAAAATGCCTTTAACTGTCGAATACATCAAAATTACATTATTCCTTTACTTAACTATACACATTTAACGCTGATCGAATTTCAGTTAATATTACATTCTAAGAGTTGTAAACAATGCTTGCTGCTTGCTTAACGCGATTGTCAATCGATGCTGAGGCCTCACTGCTTGCTGTACGTAGGTTGTCTAAGAAGTTGCTGTGGCCATGGCTGTTGCTGCTGTTGCTGCTGCTGCTGTTGAGTTTGTGGTTGCTGCTGCTGCAGTGACGGCAACAACAAGTGTGGATGATTGCTGCTTGGAATTGGCTAGTTGCTCCGCTTCTTGTACGCGATGCGTTTTCATGTGGGCGCTGCGGCTTTTCACCTTATTGAAGACTCTGGCGAGGCGAAAGAGACAGAAGAGCAGAAAGTGCCTTTTTATTAGAGTCTGCTGGGAACAGGACTAGCTGGCTAATTAGAATGCAAACGTTTAGTATAAGCGATTAAGACACTTAGAGGTAGAATTGAGCACTGATATAGTAGAGCAGAAGTAGCTGATATCTAAGCGACATGCACACATACAAATGTTTATATATTTATGTATATAGATATTGCGGTGATTCATGCAAAGATCGATCAATTTGTTTGGTTTTCCTTTTTTCATAAGTTACTTAGCCTTGTGTGTAGATAAATTGCTTTGTTGCTATTATTTACTATGGAGAGTACAGAGTTTTGCTTGGTAGTTGTTCGAACATGAAACAGAAAATTAATAAATACAGTTGTCGTAAGAGAACGAAAGAGTTAAAAAGTAATGTGCGCTGAAATATTATTGAGTAATGGATACGATTGCGGCGACTCTTCAGTTGTGATCTCGAAACGATTTAATTTCGACCAATTTGCTAGCCAATCAGTTGCTGAGGACCGGGATCAGGATCGGGATCAGGATCACGCATAAAGCAAGCTCCGTCTTAGTATGAAAGATTTTCACATTTAGAAATTGGTTAAAAATCGATGAACGAATGTCCCCAGAAACGTTAAATTGGGTATTCGAGTTATATGTATGTACAATAGACTGAATGCAAAGGGCACTTGGCGCCCTGCACTTATAGTAGTAAAACAAAATGAGGTTAGTACATTGAAATCAGAGAACAAAGAGGTTCGAGACAGAAAACAAATCAAATGAATGAAACGCAAAGTGAAAACATAAAATTATAAACCATATGTACTTACTTACCCATAGATCGGCCGATTTCAGTTGACCCCTTGAGAGACTGAGAGGCTGAGAGGCTGAGAGTCTGTGAGGAGCTGATTTCAGTAACGCCTATTTGCGAGTTGTGACTCTTCGCTTTAAAATTGCAATTTATTGAATCATTTATTGATTTGATGGTTTAGGAATTGTTTGGTTTCGGTTTCGATATTTTTGTTTTGGCATCATGGAACAACAAAATACAATACAACAACAATAACAACAATTATTATCGCTTACTGATTGAACGCTAGAACTAAACGGAAATCAAGACTGGATACATGAAACTCAACTAAATGCTGTATAAAAGCCTACAAATCAAATCGAGAAGGCAGAAAGAAAGTGAAAAGCAGCAGAAAGCAAAAGTAACTGGAAATCATATTCGAATCGAAAGTAAAATAACGTTCAAAATGGATAAATCACAAATGAACTGAACAATTCTAGCTAAAACGGCCAGACTTCGGGCTCAATCGAACGAATATCTTTTGAGACGAAAGTTACGGTACGATTACGATATAACGTGCTTTACGGTCTTAACTCAATACGGGCACTCAAATCGCTCAATATGCTTGCGAAATTCAAAAGTTTCAAAATATTCTCAAATTTATGTATGAGCTTGGCAATTTAGATTTTACGAATTGTTGTGGATAGTTTCTTGGGGGAATCTTACTTGCCGCACACCTTGCAGGGAAATTCACTGTCCTTGGGTATATTGGAATTGTTGCTGTTGCTACTGTCTTTCGTTGCTGTCGATGCTGTGGATGATGCGGCCGCAGCCGCAGCAACAGCTGTTGCAGCGGCTGTCGCTATTGCTGTTGTTGCTATTGAAAGCATCGTTGGGTTTGTGGAAATGCCAGCGATGCTGTTGTTGTTGTTCATAATATTGTTGTTGTTCGCGGTGGTGTTGTTATTGCCATTAGTGTGCGTTATGGTTGCTGTTGCATTGCTGTTGTGGTTGTTGCTAGTCTGTTGACTGCTGCCAGTCAGGGGTATGCATGCGTTGCTGCTATTGGTGTTGTTGTTGCTGCTGTTGTTGTTGCTGGAATTGTGGCTGTTGTTGGCACTAGTTGCCGTGGCATGCTGGATGTTGCTGTTGCTGTTGTTGTTGTTGTTACTATTATTGTTGCTGGCATTTCTACCATAAGCGTGTATGCGAACATGACCATGCAGCGCCGCCTTGGAACTGAAGCTCTGCATTTCGGTCATAGAACGCACGGAAATTGGCATTATGTACAAGAAAGAAAGTAAAAAGGAGCCGGAGTGAGTTGTGTGGGTATTTCGGAGATGTATGTATGTAGAAGCCAAACAGGGCGAACTGTACAGGTCGACGCGCTTAATGAACACAACTTACCGCCGAACAGTCGGCAATTTCGCAAACGTAGGGCTTCTGCTCCACCATGGGGATGCTTGCAGGAACTGGCTCCATTTTGAGGTGCGATACCTTGTAGTCCACACATAGTTTCTTCCAAAAATAATACATTTGCACGCATTCCCCGGATGTCTTCGTGTGAAGCTGCAAGAAATTTGACACTTTTTCTGAGTCATGGTCAAATAACTAAGATGACTGTAGTCTAGAGTGTTCCACCTAAGGTTGCTCTAGGCTAAAGGGCAAGGTTTACAAAGCTAAATATATTTTATCCAAGACAAGCTATTATAGTATTAGTTAATATGTCGAGATCGTGTTGCATTTGTGGGGGAATTTTCCTCCAATATGAAACAAGAATTCTTAAAGATTATTTCTCGCTCAAATTTCCTATTTATATAGCTCTCAGAATATTTTACCTCACTAGCGATTTTGCCAAAGTCCTTGCCGTGTTTCTCGAGGCCGCGCAGGAACTGCTCTAGCTCGTAGGCAGTCCATTTCATTTGGAATGCGCTGGACTGCATCTGCAGTAGGGTAAGCACCGCTGCCGCGGAGTTGCCTTTTGCGTCGAGCAGCGTTTGCAGGGCCACCTCCTCGGAATGGCTGCCCATGGGTACGGCCGATGATTTGCTGAGATCTATGTAACGCATCAGTATCTTATCGTCTAGCTGGACGCTTGGATCCCACATTAGGTCGGCGCACATGGGCTCCTTGATGGCTTCGTCTGGTGGCTTGCAGGCTGGGATCTGCGCTTGATAGGTGGAGCCAAGGTTCACCTTGGACTCATCGCAGAAGTCCACCAAGCCCACAGGATCGCCAAAGTCATCGTCGAAAACGTCGAACATTCCCTGGCCAAGCTGCTTGCGCACATTGCAGTAGAGCCCGGTGCCCTTGCGATCCGGATTGAGTATCGGAGCAGGGGTATAGTGGGTCCGGGATGGCTTGCGCAGCTTTGAGCGGTGCGGCGATAGCGTATGGAATTTCGAAAACTTGTGCACATCCTGCGCTCCGTTCGACCGCAGGCGACGCTTCAGTATGGAGTTCGTCTGATTGGACAACGGCTGCAGGTTCGCAACACTTGGCGCAGCCGTAACTACCGGCGTCGGAATGGCTGCGGATAAGCCGGCTAACATGGGCTTGTTGCAGCTATTTTTTGTGTCGTCGCAGGCGAAGAGCAGGCTCGCATCAAGTGCAGTTGCCTGAACCGTATTGGAGCCGAGAAGCGTGCTAAATGCATGCTTATTGCTGGCAGCGCTGTTGCTGCCGTAAAGCATTGGCTGCAGCAGACTGTTCAGCGGCTGCAGCATCATCGGCTGCTGATTGCCATCCATATATTGGGCTTGACAGTTCACGGGCGTAAAGTTGCTGAGCATAAAATCTGTCTGTTGCTGCTGTTGGGGCTGTTCACCTTGAACTGCAGGTAGCTGTGGCAATTGCAGCTGTTGCTGCTGAGTTCCCAGCTGTTGCTCTTCTTGTGATTGCTGCTGCTCCTGTGGCTGCTGCTGCTGCTGCTGCTGGGACTGCATTTGCAATTGCAGCTGTAATTGTTGCTGCTGCTGCTGCTGCTGTTGCTGTTGGTCGTAAAGCACAGTCGTGGACTGCAACTGTTCGATAGGCTGCACGGTCGCAGTTGCAGCTGTGCTTGTGTGCACAACCTGACGTTGCTGGCCGAATTCGCGTGGCGAGGACGACAAAAGCGGATCATCGGAGTTGGGCATCATTTGGGATTGCAGGCCCAGACCCGGCAAATAGTACAGATCAATGATGTTCTCGCCCTGCTGCTCGCTACTCAACTGCAATTGTATATTTTCCTCGGGCAGCACCTCTCGCAGCACTTGTTTAACATCCTCGGCCGAGCCAATGCCGCTGGTGAAGAAAGACTCGGACAGCGGGGAGGTAGCGTTTCGTGAATCATTGAGGAACTCCTGATCCTCGTCCAGGAACGAGAGATTCGTCTCGGCAAACTCACGCAAGTCGCATTCAGCATCATCTTCAGTGCTGCTTAGCAGATCCTCCACTTTGATGGACTGGCCGAAGCTGCTTTCCTCGAGCACCGTCTTCAGTTTGAGTATCTTCTCGTTGTCGTTCTCAGTGAGCTGCTGCATGGACTCGCCGTCGTCTGTCTTAAAATATACATGCGAGAAGTCCGTCTTGTCGCCGAAGAACGTGTGACTGGCGTCCACGAACTGAGCCGCAGCGTCCTCTATGAAAGGCGACGATTGGGCCATATTCTCGTGGCTGGACGGCGGCGTCGGATAGGCTATCGGCGAATGCAGGGGAGAGGCGAGCACGCCCAGATTGCTTCCGCTACGCATGCTGGCAATGGCCTGAATTTGTGAGCTGTTCTGCATGATAATCTCTTTGGAATGGAATTGCTGGAAGGTGGGCAACGGCGTCGTCTTATTCATGGTGTTAGTCGTGCTGGTTAGTCCCGGCTCCATTTTGACCAGCTGCGTATGAACAGTTTCTCCGGTCTCGCTGAGCAGCGCAAAGTCCTCGGAATGTTCGCTCTTGTGCACCGCCTCCTCGTCATCATTGAGTAATTCCATAGTGTCCACTGTTTGGAGCAGCATTTCGGTGTCCGAGACATTGTATACCTCAGTGTCGTCGAAGAGGTCCGACGCATCCGCATCGCTAGTGTAGGTCACCGTATAAACGCCGCCGCCGGCCGTAATGGTGCTTGCCTCACTCACGCCCAGATTTTCCTGGCTATTCGCAATGGCCACCGAGAGCGGAGTGCCATCCGGCAACGAGATGCTGCTCGCAGAACATGTTGCATTGTTATTGTTGCTGCTGCCGTTGTCGCTGGCTGTGATGGCCTGGCTCGAAATGAGCTTGCTCTTGGTGGACACCACATGGACATCTGAGGGTATGATGACGGTGCGATTGTTGTTGGTGATTATCTGTCGACCAGTGGTCTGGACGCTGCTGCCGATAGCTGTCAGCTCCGTGCCCGTCACGTTGCTCAGCAACAGATTCGCGCTGCTCTGCGTCTTCTTCGACGCGACGGCAATGCGCGTTCCGCGCTTGAGCAGCTCAATTAATGTCGAGTCCTTGGGATCCACATTGCTGGAGATGCCATTGATGGTGCCGCCGCCCTTCAATGCCGTCAGGGCGCTCATGGTGGTTGTGGTAGGCACATTGTTGGTGGTTATGGTTATGGTGTTGGCACCACTGCCTAGACTGAGGGTTTTCGGCTGCCTGTGGCCTCCGCTGAAGATTTCGATGCTTTGCGGCAGTCCAATCTGCTGTATACTTAGCCCGTTGCTGCTCTTGATTGTGGTTGCTGCCGGCAATACCGCTGTGGTGGTGCTGCTGCTGCTGGACAGTGCTTGACTCAGGCTGGTGGTGCTGCATTTCGGGTTGAGGAAACTCTCCAGGTCGCTTATCGAGCGTCTCAGTGTGTTGCTGTTGCTGCTGCAGACTCCAACGCTGTTGCACGTGGTGCTTGGTGGTGCAGGCACTACGAAGGCGCCCTATAAGACAGGCATTAATATCGATTATATTTCTATGATCTATCATTGAAGTACCTTATTTATGTCCTTCCGTTTGCTTATGATTTTCTCCTCGATGAGGGCGCGCACTCCTATGCTGGCGGTCTGTAAGGGAGGTCCGTTCGAGTCCTTTTTCTCGGTGCGCTTGGTTTCTGGATCCTTTTTGAAGTATCCGCCATGCAGACGCATGTGCCCATTGAGGGCGGGTATGTTTTTAAACTTACGATGGCACAGGTTGCACTCCACCGGCTTGTCGATCTTAACAATGTTGAGCAGATGGGGATTGATGGCTGCCACCAGCTGCTGGCTCAACTCATCGTCCTTGACCTCGTCGGTTGAAGTTGATGCCGATCCGGCTACCTCTGTGCCATCCTCCACAGTTACAGTCACATTTTGTGCGTTGTTGAGCTGAAAGTGAGAATGGAATGTCCATGTAAATGGCCCGTCGAGAAGACCTGGTCCAATCGAGAGCTTACCAATTGCATATTCCAGGTGCGTGGGCGCGACGAAACTTGCGCTGTCTCTGTATTGATTTTATAGGAGCTGACGCTGGTGGGAGAGGAGACGGTGACCTGTGCACTGGTCTGCTTTGTCTGCTGCATGATCTTGCTTATGAGATCGAGTTGCTCGCGCGTCAGTCCATCGCCCTCGAGCGTAGTGCCGTCGCTAAGCGTAATTGTCGGTGAGCTGGTGACAATGGCATTGCCATTGCCATTGCCGTTGCTGTTGCCGTTGCCGCTGCCGTTGCCGTTGCCGTTGCCGCTGCCTGTGTTAGAGCAGGACGAGGAGGCTGTAGACGATGCGTTCGACGATGTTGATGTGGTGGGCGAGAGCAAAGTAACCCCAGTTTTAATGGGCAAATTCATGGCCTTGATCTGCTCGTCGGACAACGCAATGCCCGTGGCTGCGTCCACCACAGTGCTGCCCGTGGAAATGTAGGTGCGAATGCAGGTGGCACCGTCTGGCGAGCTGGCATCTCCACTCGCCGTAGCCGGCGACAGGCTGAGCGAGTTGCTGGCCACGCCCACGCTGCTGCTGCTGCTACTGCTGCCACTGCTGACGCTGCCGCAGTTGCTGCTAGTCGTGGGCGAGAGCGAGTTGTTGTTCGGAGTGGCCACGCCGCCATGGTGATTCTCCGAATGCCGGCGAAGGGAGCGAGCATCGCAATAGGACTTGCCGCAGCCTTCTGCCTTACACTCGTAAGGTTTCTTGTTCCGATGCGTCATCATGTGTCCGTTTCTGGGTCGAAGCAATTAATTTGAGTGGGTTAGTGGATCAGTCGATCAGTAGATCAATGTGGCGCTTCATTAACTTACAAGTGATCTTGCCGCTTGAATGCCTTCGAGCAGAGCGCACAAATATATTTCCGTTCGTCGCTGTGCGTCAGTTTGTGCTTGGCTAATGCCGAGGCATTTCCAAAGATCTTGCTACAAATCTATTAAGAAAATAAAAACACCCAGACAAATTATATGTAATTAGTGCCGTCTACATTAATGAAAGCGTTGCGGCTGCCCGAACGGACTTTTTGGAAATGTTCATGTGCCACGCTGCGTATGCGTAATATAACATGCTTCGCTTATGCTGTGCTTATGAAATAGACGGGGCAGGGGCAGGAGTCGACCCAATAAGACATCATGTGTCGGAGAAAACACACAGGGATTATGCACATTAAATGATAAATAAATGCTTCATATTTAGCATATTCTCACTCTAAGCAGTAACTAGCAATATATTCGATATATATTCAATTTTTTGTTGAATTTTTACTTAACAGGGCAGAGGATGCTAATACATTTGTATAGAATTGAAGCGCAAATGTTAAGTGTTTTCAAGTTAATAGTTCTTATAGCAAAAGGTGCCTTAAGATTAATAATTATGTTACACTGATTATCAATTATCGATAAATCTAATTTTTAAAATCTTAAAGGGAAATGTTAATCTTAATTTCTCTAATTCTACCTCATGTTGTCTGCTGGGGCTTCCACATATATTCCAAATCTATGGCAATGCAGTTACATCAAACAAAGAAAAAGGTGTTTGTTATCGACAATTATCGATCAGTTAATGACATAAAACTTTTTAATATTTTGAATGAACTTTTTTTTGCTTGCCAAACAAATAAATAATGATAAAAATCTAAAAAAGTGTATCTCTCTCTAGCTTGTTTTGTGTTTCATAATCGATAATTATCGATATGAATAAATAAGTAAAATATAAAAAAGAGTCGATAAGCAGACAGGCATGTGTAAATTGGTTCAGTTCGTTTTGCCTGTCGAAGAACATATATGCATATATGATACTTTATATATACATATATATATGTATATATATATATATATAAATATATATACATATATATATATATATATTATATGTCTTTGCTGTAGCATAGGGTATGCGCTAATCATATAAGTTTAACCACTAAGCTTTAGTGTACAAGCAGAAACACACACCTGACACTGTTGGGGGCCGTGGCGTGTGGGCGAGGTTAATTTAGGGCGGCTCTTGCGGGGAGCGTGGTCGACAGTGATAATGCCAATGCCAGTTGCAGTGGTGTTCGTGGATGCTGCTGTTGTTACTATGCCAGCAACATGTCGGCCGTTGCTCTTGAAACTTAGGCTGTGACCGCTGCTGCTGTTGCTGTCGTTGCTGTTGCTGTTGCTGTTGCTGTTGCTACTACTGTGACTGTGACTGCTGGTGGTGCTGCTGCTGGTGGTGCTGCTTATGCTAATGCTGCTGCCCACAGAAGAGGCGCTGCTGAAGTTGCTGCTGTTGCTGCAGTTGCTATTATTGTTGTGTTGACTGAGTAAACTGGCGGCGCTGCTGGTGCTGCTGTTGCTCATAATCTGTGCCAGCGTTGTGACATTGGTGGCCGTGTTGCTGCAGCTGCTGCTGCGTATTAGACAGTTCTTGATGTAGTTGGTCTTGCTGCCACCAATGCTGCTAATGGTTGTATTAGTCGAGGCGCTCACAGTTTGTACGCTAATCTTGTTGCTAGCACTGCGTCGCGTTATTGTTATCCTGTTGGGACTGTTCAGGCGAACGCCAGAGCTCGTTATCGTATTGTTCAGAATTGTTGGCGCAGTGCTGATTCGGCTGCTGCTGCCATTAATGCTTCTTTTGGTGTTGCTGTTGCAGTTGTTGTTGCTGTTGCTGTTGCTATTGCTGTTGCTATTGCTGTTGTTGTTGTTGCTTTGTCTGTTCTTAAGAGCTGCAAGTACCAGACAGACATGTAGTCAAAAACCAGATGCTATATTCAGAACTCACTTACAGGCTGTCTGAATGGTGCCCAAGACATCTGCTAACATATCCGGATCCGGATAGCCAATAGTGAGCGCATTCTCCAATGCTGACGTTAGTCCTGACGCATTTGCTTGGCCTGGTGACGATGTCGCTGCTGTTGTTGTTGTTGCTGTTGCTGTGCTGCTGGCGGCTGCCTCCAAAGCATTCGCATCTCTCAGTTGCAGTGTTACGGAACCCTCGCTGCCCACAGATGCGTTGCACATCAACACGCGCGATGCGCTGAGATTCGTCAAAGGCAGGTGTATGCTCTTAGGTACCTGCGGCATACAAAACAGAGAGAGGCAACGGCTACAATCTGCTTAATTATGACTACACCTCGCCCAATGTATATGTACGTATCTAAGTGTATCTGAATGGGAGCGGACGGAAATACATAAGACAATATGTCGGGTCGGGGCACGTTCTAAGTGGCTGCCAAGAAGCAATACGCGAACGTCTTCTGCTGCTGTCGGACGGGATTATTTTAGATTATTGATAATTCTCAGCAACTGTCCTGTCGCCTAATGAAAGATGCGACTCATAATTAATTGCATTTAAATGCATCTCGTTTTGTGTGTAGTAAGCACGGAAGTCGGGCCAATGACTAGAGCACGACAATGCTAAGCAGCGACACTTTGACTGGCCCTCAATCCCGCCCGTTGAATGTGTTTCGATATCCACGATAATAATATATTTTCGTGCAGTCTTTGGCTAGCAGATGAATTCAAACGGCATAGAATTTTCAGATGACGTTGGGCTAGTTCTGGCTCACGTGCCAAAAAGATATTTAACTGGAAGTATGGGCTAATTAAGGCTTTATAGGCCACAGCGAATGCCCAATTAATGCGCGCCGCAATTGTCTGTAGCCGCAAAAACAAGTGCAAATAAACAAAACAATTGGACATAAATATCCAGAAAGTGTCTGCGACGTTAGCCGCAACGAAAGCCAAGACGAAGACATTCTCATAAATTAGTTGGCTTCGAGCACATAAAATTTCGGATTGCATAAATAAACTGAATTTTTATTGTTCAGTTTGCGCTGAAAATAAACAGAAAATGAAAAGTTGCCTCGATCTGGTCACTGCTAGTGGAACAGCAGCCACAAGTGGCCAAAATGCCCAAAGGCCCAAAGGCCCAAGTGCCCAACTGGCCTAATGTCTGTGCTGCCTGCGTATTATGTGTTATGTTAATGCTTAGTTTATTTTAAATTGTTTCAGCATACACAAAAAGTGGCCAGGTGAGAGCAATTTTAATTGGTTTCTGACTTAAGCACTTGTTTTTCGGAAATATTATGAGTCAACTCGCTTACGTCCCTCCATCAGTCAATTCAATTGAGTTACTGCAATAACCATATAAAGAGATTTCTATTATATTTTAGACTCTACTCATATATCTCACTACAGTGTTAAGCTCAGTTAGGAAGTATCTGCCAAAGATTTTTGTTTTTTAATTAGTTAAATGAATTTATTGTGTTTATTGGCGCTTCTTGTTAATCGACTTCTCTTTCAATGCCACACTTAAAATTTCTTAAACGAACCCAAAATAAATCCATTTATTTCAGATTTGCATTCGCCAGAACTCGTGCTCAGCTAGCAAATGCTCTATATCTTGTTTTAATTTAAGCAAACAATTTGCTACTCTTTTAATTTGCGATTCATTTTCTCTAAATGCTTCTATTTAATTTGCGATTCATTTTCTCTAAATGCTTCTATGGCATTGTTCAATCAAACACTTTGCTTAATTGAGAGCTGAATAAGAGCAAAAAGCTAGCCTATTACTGGGTATATTGTAGTCGAGGAGTCTGCAAAATCGAATTTATGAATGATTTATTATCGCAGGGCTCAAAAGTTTATGCGATTGTAGAAACTGATAAAAAAACACAAAAATCTCGACTAACATGTCTGTCTCTCACACACACTCTCTCTCTCTCACTCTCTCTTAAACAGAAAAAACACAATCCACCAAACATGACGGCACATCCTGTTACGACACGATGTGGCAGCATCTCCACCTGTGCCATTGCGGCATGCGTGTGTATATTTTTACAGCGTGATTCATATGTCAATCAGCTGTCAATGTCATTCCAAAACGAAAGCAAAGACCTTCGACAAGTCGAAGCTGGCGTCCAAAACGTGGAAGCAAGTGGGTCCGCTCGACAGGAATCATACGAGCGCGCAAGGTGTGAAAGCTGCTGCCACCATCATATCGAGGGCTGCTGCTTTAGGGCGCAGCATTTGTCTTCCGATTCGCATAAGTAGAGCATTCGAATACGGGCAGAGATATTCATAAAATGTCAACATCAAATTGAATACTTTAGGCGGCAATTTGTCATCGGGTCTTGCTTATTAGTAAAATGAGCTGAAACACATGTTTGGGCACACCCCGACCTGCCCTCCACTCATATAGCACGTCGCTAGAATGGCTTCCTCGTCAGCGGCGTCATCATCAATAAGCAGAAGCAATACATCAACCAAGTCGCAGTCGGAAGACTGTTGGGGTCTTTATGTTTATTTGCATTGGCAAATGTTTATGAATTTGCCTTTCAACTGTTGAATTTATGTAGAAATCGTGTGTGTCTGTGTGTGTGTGTGTGCGTGTGCTTTGGAGCCTGCTCAGTCTTTAGAGCGTGTCTGACATGGCGTATACGTAATTTTATGAGTCTAATATTTGATTAGCTTTAATTTTAAATATTTTATTGCCTCTTGATGATTATTTATGCAGTGCGCGCGTATGCGAGTGCCGCTGGGCGTATGCGTGATATTACACATACACAATGTTGACCAATCTGATTATATAAATAAATGTTATTTGTGTTGCAGTTCGCAGCCGTAGACAGAAATACGACGAGTACGAGCTATCTGTGTGTGTATGCGCCTAATTTATTGTGCCTTATGAATGATTGCACACAAACGGGCGTAGTATTATTGTTGCTTTAGCTTTAGCTTTTGCTGTTGTTGTTGTTTTTGTTGTTGTTGGCGTTGCTTTTCGCGTACTTACCGTATTTATGGCAGCCATCGTCGCACTTGACGCCGTTGATGTTCTTGTTCTTTTGCTAGTTGTTGTTGTTGGTGGTGCTTGTTCTTGTTCTTATAGTTGGTATTGTTGTTGTTGTTGTTGTAGTGGTGGTGGTGGTGATGATGGGGATACAAAATCAAAAATCTGCAAAAAGGTTTGTATGATAGAACATATTCGATTTCTGTTTTTTTTTCTTTTTTTTTTTTATTTTTGTTTCTGGTTCTCATTGAGCGCCGCTTGTCATTTGCATTGCACTTCAACGACATTGAATTGAACAGAAAAAGAAAATCGGATTTCAAATCAAATAAATCAAACAAACCCAATATGTGATGCATAAAAATGTGCGCAAAAATCTAAGAAAACATAACATGATCGCTGTACACAGATTGTTAAGGAAAACAACAAAAAGAAACACAAATACATGCACATGGCCAAAACACACGAGAAGACAAAGGCGGAGGCAATCAAAATGTATGAGAAATAGATAAGTTTCAGCAGGGATTGCCAGATGGACTTGGATATATGTGGGCATTTGGGTGCGGGTGCTGAGCTGATTTAATGATTGACTGACTGGCTGATTGACTGGGCTGGCAGAGTGGCTGATTGATTGACTGATTGACTGGGCAGTTTGAAGCGTGTATGACTGAGCATTAGCTTAGTGTTGAATTAGTTAAACTACTTAACATTTCAATCATGACGCGACATTCAGACTTCGAGTTCTTTTTTAATGGCGCTTATGAAAACGAAAGTTTTCATTTTTTATTTAATTTGTACTCGCGCCAAACACCTTCGTGTCGGCTTTTCAAAATTCTTTTGCAATTTCTCAGTTGCCTTTGCCTCTCATTATTTATTTTCGCACACAATTGCCGTTGTCTGCGCACTTTTACCTTAGTTATTTTGTTGCAGCTCTACAGCTTTATTTTTATATTAATTCAAGCATTTTTCGTCAGTCTCGCCTACTCCCCTTACCCATGTCCATATCTATTGGTGTGTCGCAAAATAAAACATAAATAAAATTGGGCGAACTTTTGCCAACATTTGAAACGCGCTTGGCAAAATCATTTCAAATATTCACTATAATTCAAAAGCTGCACGTAATTAAACAAGTGTGACGAAATCTCTTTTTACTTACAATTTTAACTGTAGATCTAAGATGAAAAGTAAAAAAGTAGTTGACTTAATTACTTAAGCAAGTAATTGAACTACTCAGGCTCATACTCAGACTATACTTTTCTGAAACTTTTTGAACTGTTCAATCTGAATCTGATATCAGAATATCACAATCACATTACATTGAAGCTCTTGGAACATGAAAATACAAATAACTGATGCCTGATAACTGCCCTCTTTAAGTCCTCACATCACCCTTCATTTCTGTAAGAATAGACGTACAGTAAAGCGTGGCTAAAAGGCGCAGGCCTGTTCAATAACTTCAACAGAAAATGTAAGCAATTTGAAATAACGGCGTAGTACTTTAAGTTAGTTTAACTCTATTTTCTTTTGATGCTTGTACTTGAAGAGCTTGTTTATTTTACTATAAAGTAAGAAATTCGGATTCAACATGACAGAAAACTTTTAATATTATTACAGATAATTAAGTAGCAATTTGAGACAAGAAACTGAAATGCCTAACATTTAGAAGCCATATAATTATTATTTGTTTATTTAATCCAATATATTATTATAGTAAAGTTAAAATTGTTTAAGCTTGTCTAAGCCATAACCAAGCCCAAAATACATGTAGTTGTCCCTAACTGTAGAGACCGAAATGCGAATTTTGACATTCAATTATGGCTGCAATAATTAGGTAAATATATATATTTATATATATACTGAAATCGAATTCGGTACGATTTTATATATATTTTGTGTAAATTTCTAAATTTAACTTGTACTGAAATTACTTTGAATGCTTATTTCAAGGAGAATTTCAATTGAATATTAATGAATTCTTCTAAAGGTCGAGTCCGTGCACCTTTCTATGGAATTCTGAAGCCAAAGCAGCAGTCGAGTCTGGCATAATTTCCCAGTCAGACAGACAGACAGACAGGCAGGCAGCTAAAAGCACACGAATATGCCCTTTTCGGAAAGCATAAGACATATAGACAAATGCGAGTGCAACGTTGAGCAACGAACTCATAATGCAATAGACCAGCTACACACATATACATATACACAGATGCAGCGTGCAAAATACTTTGGCTTCTAGAATTGCATGAAAATTCGCAGCGGCTATGATAGAAGCGGCAAATGTGACGGCCATGCCAAAGTATCTGAATATCTGCTCGTGCGGTCGCTGCTTTTTAATTAAAAATATGTACAAGCTTGCTTGTCTACATACTATATATATAAATATATCTAGTGGCGAGGTATATACATATGTGTGCACAGTGGTACCCTGGCACAGTGTGTCACACTGGGTCGGCATCGTTGCCAGGATGGTAGTAAGGCATAAACACGCGGAATGTTGTCGAGCGCGACGACAATTTGTTTCAGAATATGCTTGGCAAGGCGCCCACTAAAACACGCCAATAAAGTGAGCCAAGCGGCGATATCGCAACAGCAACAGCAACAGCAGCAGCAGCAGTAGGAGCCGAACAGCAACAACAATAAGAGCTGCAGCAGAAATTAGTAGCGACTTGAAGATACCCTAAAGCCCACGCTGAGCTACTAACTCATCTTTCTAGCATGCCTACACAGAACTCTACATTCTACATGCTACCTAATGAATGTGTCAAATACAAATGATAGCTTGAAGTATACTTAGCGTAGCCAATAAAGAGGTAGAGATATATTAAGAGTTTAGCTAGTTACCTTGAAAATCAGCTGCAGCTGCAGCTGCCGCTTAAAACTGCAAATTACGTTGTCATAAAGTAATTTTTTTTTAAAAGTTTGCTAAGTCAGCATAGCTATTAAACTTTTCAAATCTCAAGTTCTTTTAAGTTCATAAATCCTGAAGCATGGACAGCCAGACAAGTCCTTTACAGGGTCAGCTACGCAAAGTTAATTAGTTATTCAATCATTGTTTGTGTATAAAAAGGCGGCTCATGAGTAACCATGATAAGCGACCTAATATATATTTATAAATATATATTAGCGTTGCATATAGATATGTACGTATCTATGTATGTATCTATGTGGCTTATGTATAAACATATTTATGTGCACATTTCTTTTTTTTTCTATTGTGGCCAGTGTCAGGTCGTAAAACAATTTTATGTCCGTACATATATTTGTGCTTTGTCTTTGTCTGATATGTTTTGTATTTTTGAACATTATTTCACGTGAACAATTTAGCTAGCCACAACTACAACAACAACAACAACAATTGCCGTGTTCATTAGCAAACGCAATACGCATACGCACCATAGGCCGCGACAACAGCTGGTAGCAAAACTATGGACAAAATTAGATGCCACAAACACAAAGCACACACACATACGTGTGCACATATATTTTCAATGTTAGACCACATACTAAAAATATATTTTGTAAATGCCAAAAAAACGTATATATATATATATATATATGGAAATCGGCGGGCGGGCGATTAGCAGCAGGCGGCTGGCAGTCGGCGAGCGTCTCTCATATCAAAATCCAATTAAAAATCTTTCGCATGCATTGAACATAAACAAATAAGCGCCAGTCGAGCCTGATTGACTATCATCTTGTTGCGCTCATAAGTTTATAGTTGTCTGTTCGCCTATATATATATATATATATATATATATATCCGTAAGACAAGCTGATTGTGTTTATTTGCCAAATGGACAATTCCCAAACGTTATGGTTCAAGAAGCGCCTTTGCTTTAGAGCCAATAAAACAGTTCTACACGCGCCAGGTGCTAATTGCCCTACGTGTGGGTGGTTAATAGCTTACAAAAACCACCTATCTTCCCTATAATATATCTGAATATATTCAAACCTATTCACAAATTGTTATTGAATGCTTTGTCTAACTTTCTAACATACTTAATGTAGAGACTAAACATACATACATAAATGTTAATGTGGGTGTGTGCTTGTGTGTCTGTGTGTGTAAATGTGTTCCCTGTATGCTGTCATTTATAAATAACATTTTTATTGAACATAATGCCTAAGTGGCTCTAGAGAGCTGGACGTTGTTCTCTGTGCAACCGGAGAATTGGGTTAATAGCTTGTTCAAAGCATGAATAGGAGAAAAGGAAATGTAATGACAAGTAACTGCATTATGCCCTGCAATCAGCACACACAGTCACAAACTGAGCACTCAAAGGACCACTTTTCTCCAAGGCAACTCAGTTGAATGATACTCAATTTGCTTCATGTTTTATTTACGTGTGCTTCAAATGAAACGATTTGAATATTTGCAAAAAACGCTTTATCTCCTCATCGACTATGAACAGTGTTGGCCCCATATATAGATACAGCATTCAAAGGAGCATTAGAGATGCAATTTAACCAGCATTAAACGATTTTATTTGTGCTTAGTCGACGGGGAATGGATTTGGTCTAAGAATGCGGCAAACACATAAGCAGAAATCCATTTAAATTTTAATTAGCCCTAAGTGACATATTATAATACGACAAATAAAATTCTGTACAGCTTCCCCGAAACTTTTAAAACTAAACATAACAACGTTGCATATGAGTTTAACTACTGATAAATTTTAACTGGCTCACTTGAACTAAAACATCGTTCATCCTTGCTCACACAGCTCTAAGACAAGTGTTTTTATTGCGATAGCTAGTAATCGAACTACTATCGCATCTTTATCTCCTGCTCCCATCACTTTTCCTTAGCTTCATATGAACTTCGGATAGTTCTTTTTATTAGTTTCGCTATCGTGTAATCTAAAATTTATTTTTTTATAGATACAGCATATATAGGTACATCATTCAAATGAGCATTAGAGATGCAATTTAGCCAGAATTAAACGATTTTATTTGTAGAATAATATTTGTAATTTCCTTCATTATTTATCTGTCTCTGTTTTTTGTTTTATATATTGAAAAAGTCAATTTTTAAAAGGTAAACAAGTTCAAATAGATAAAAAGTAACGAGTAGAATACTTGAT